GTCATAAACTGCTTCTTTGACTTTTAAAATTTATTCAGTTTCCTACTCTGGAGCATTGGATTCCAGATAAGGCCAGGGACATGTGGAGTTAGCCATGCCCCTAGCTATGCTGGAGTCTGCCTTTATCTGCACTTCTGCCTGGCATGTCCTAGGCTAACTTCCACACCTGGTACACAATTAGAATCCCCAACTTACCAAGATTTTCACCAAAAGTAAGTCACTAAGAATTAACATTGTAACATGTAATTAAGACTGCTAAAAAAAGTTTTATGTGCAAGATGTGTAAGAAAAGTGAAATGTGTCTTTTGGTAAAAGATTATAAGAAGGCATGAGAATGTGAATTTTTCTTACCTAGATGAAAGGGTTAAAAGATTGTTTTAGGCCGGGCATGGTGGCTAACGCCTGTAATCCCAGCACTTTGGGAGGCTGAGGTGGGTGGATCACGAGGTCAGGAGATCAAGACCATCCTGGCTAACATGGTGAAACCCCGTCTCTACTAAAAATACAAAAAAAATTAGTCGGACGTGGTGGCAGGAGCCTGTAGTCCCAGCTACTTGCGAGGCTGAGGCAGAAGAAAGGCGTGAACCCAGGAGGCGGAGCTTGCAGTGAGCCAAGATCACGCCACTGCACTCCAGCCTGGGTGACAGAGCAAGACTCTATCTCAAAAAAAGAAAAAAAAAAAAGGATTATTTTAAATTAGAATCAAGCTGAAGCTTTAAGCAAGTTGTGGAAGGCTTGTGAAAAGTTAATCTTGTAAAAAAATTCTGTGTCTGAACAAATTGGCTAAAGTTAAAGCAGTATTATTCAGTTTTTCTGTAAACTGAACATTGGAATAAAAGCACAACAGGTTTTTTCTTAGAGCAAAAACCTCCCTATGATCTGCTCTTTAATAAAAATGTGTAAAGGTAAGTTATCAAAGGCTTATGAGAATCTTACCTTATGGCCAAACTGATTAAGATTGAAGATATTTGTCTATAAGATTTCATTAAGAATTAATTGGGTTTGACATCAATGGTGCACTAATGCAACAGTGACATTTGGCTTATTTGGTACAAAAACCACTCAGGAAGCATTATCAAATGTGAAATGGTGTTTGGTTTTCTTTGGGCTATATTTATATAAATGTGTTATTGGTATATGTTCCAAAAGTATGGGAAAATCCTATAATTCTAATGTGACTTACTGTATGTTATTAATAATTATAATTGTCACATAAAATCATTGTATGCCAAGAAGGCAACCAAATTTCATGTTTTTGATTGTGGCTGCCCTAAAACATTTTGTTATCCACAGACAATTGTCTTGTTGTAATCCTTTTTAGAAGGTGGTTTAACAGGTATTCTTAAATGCAGGTTTTTAATAACTTTGGAAATTATGATATTAGAAGAGAGAAAAAACTTTCAGAACTCTCATAGAAAGCTGAAATGTTAATGAATATCAAGCAAAACAGGAGTTAATTAAATTAACCAAACCAAGAAAAAACTGAAGTAATGTTTTTATCTTTACTTAAAATGTTGCTGATCCTTTGTTTTGTTTTTCAGAGTCAAGGAAACTTTTCTTTTGAGCTATTTACAGCTTTTAGCAACTGAGTAAAATATACTCCTGAGTAAACTATACTCCTGTGAACAAAATTTGGAGCATATTTCTCTGATTTCTTCAGAATTTGGAAACTGTTTGTGAGTATTCTTAATTTATGGCAATATAGTTATTTGCATAAGCACAATAAAATTCTGATTTCTTTTGTAATAGGACACAATTAGAAAAACTGGTTATTTTACCAAGGCTTTAACTGGAATGGGATGCTTTGCATTAAGGAATCACACTTGACTTGTAAAGCCAATAAAAGCCCCTTGGGGAAACGCCTCATATTTTGTCTTCACAGTCCCTGTATGGGGTTCCTGACCTGTGGTAAGTAAAGAATGTCACTTTCTAACAGGTCCAGGAGCCCCAAGCTATCTTGAGGCCTCAAGAGGAGAGGAATTTATTCAACTCATAGGTATTTGAAGGTACAAACCCGTGGCAGGGCCTGGCTCTAAAGACGTCTTATGTGAGATTCCTTCTATGGAACAGAGTTCCATCAAAGCCAATTTAAAAAGAGCTTATGTGAAAAACAATTATTCCTGCTGTACTTTATACAAATAATCAGGCCAAGTCTAATGAAGCAAATCAGTCTTACCATGATTTGTCTTTAGTAAAAATGGAAAATGGGAAACTACAGAAATTAGTTTCAAGAACTACGGCACACTTCTTAAATTCTAATTTCATCAGTTGTTTTTAAGTTTGTTTCTGCAATTTAGGCTAACCCTGCTTATTCCTGTGAACCAACCAGTGATCTCTGCCTGCTGCTCAGAAGAAACAAGAGGGATGGGTAATGTAAAAATCTGGATCAGTATTCTAATTCTGGGCACATTAGAATCAGCTAACAACCCCATGTCAGCCTGGTTCCACCAACTGCTCAGTTCATGGAAAGCCTTCTAATTCGGTTTACTCGTGATAGTTTTGCTTATTCTGTTATATTGCTGTTCTACCCTTTGTGGAGGAATGCAGGATAAGCTTACTGAATGTTTTCTTAAACAATAATCTTTCAGACATCACCTTTTGTCAGAACTCAAGTTATGAATGGCTTTCACCATTCCAAGGCTTTCTGGCCGAGCTCTTCTCTACCCTGAACAGAAGAGACCTTAATAGGCAAGGGTATCATTGACCCTATTCAGCCTGAAGAAGTTACAGAAGATGGACCTTCATCCCTCTGCAACCCTTAGGATTAAAGGTTCTCTTACAAAAGGGACGGGGGAAATGTCAGAGGTGTGTGAACCAGAGCAACTCCATCTTGAATAGGAGCTGGGTAAAATGAGGCCGAGACCTACTGGCCTGCATTCCCAGACACTTAAGGCATTAAGTCACAGGATGAGATGAGGTCAGCACAGGATACAGGTCATAAAGACCTTGCTGATAAAATGGGTTGCAGTAAGGAAGTCAGCTAAAACCCACCAAACCCAAGATGGCCATGAGAGTGACCTCTGGTCATCCTCACTACTACACTCCCCCCAGCGCCATGACAGTTTACAAATGCCACGGCAACGTCAGGAAGTTACCCTATATGGTCTTAAAAAGGGAGGCATGAATCCACCCTTTGATTATTATATCACCAAGAAATAACCATAAAAATGGGCAACCAGCAGCCCTTGAGGCTGCTCTATGGAGTAGTCATTCTTTTATTCCTTCACTTTCTAAATAAACTTGCTTTCACTTTACGCTATGGATTCGCCCTGAATTCTTTCTTGCATGAGATCCAAGAAACCTCTCTTGGGGTCTGGATGGGGCCCCCTTTCCTGTAACACACCTATACTTAGAAGCTCGTTTTCAGACCTTTCTGGGCTGAACCAATGTGCACCTTCCATGCACTGACTGACATCTCTGCCTCTAACTTCTGTCCCCCTAAAATGTATAAAATCAGGCTGTAACTCAGCAATCTTAGGCAGCTATTCTCAGGACCTCCCAGGGCTGTGTCACAGGTCATAGTCTTCACATTTGGCTCAGAATAAACCTCTTCAAATATTTCACAGAGCTTGGCTTTTTGTCAACACTGCCAGTAAAGTGTGCCAGCTCCCAAATTTGGGGAACGAGGACCTTTCCAACAGGTGGATATGAAAATGCAAACCACATGGTGACATCATGGCCACAGGCGTCGCAAAGCTCTCCTGCAAGAGAACTCGTCGTATCTGACATGGTGACATAGTGGCATTGCAAAGCTCTTCTGCACGAGAACTCGTCGTATCTGACATGGTGACATAGTGGCATTGCAAAGCTCTCCAGCACGAGAACCCGTCGTGTCTCACATGGTGACACTGTGGCATCATAAAGCTCTCTGGTATGAGAACCCGTCGTGTCTGACATGGTGACATCATGGCCACAGGCATCACAAAGCTTTCTGGCATGAGAACCTGTCATGTCTCACATGGTGACACTGTGGCATCACAAAGCTCTCTGGCACGAGAACCCGTCGTGTCTGACATGGTGACATAGTGGCCAGGCGTCGCAAAGCTCTTCTGCACAAGAACTCGTTTGTGTCTGACATGGTGACACCGTGGCCACAGGCATCGCAAAGCTTTCTGGCATGAGAACCTGTCATGTCTCACATGGTGACACTGTGGCATCGCAAAGTTCTCCAGCATGAGAACCCGTCGTGTCTCACATGGTGACAGTGGCCAGGCATTGCGAAGCTCTCCAGCACGAGAACCCGTTGTGTCTGACATGGTGACTTTGTGGCTACAAGCATCACAAAGCGCTCCTGCATGAGAACCCGTCGTGTCTGACACCAAAGTCAAATGTGTTTATTTCTGTAAACCTTGAACATACCCTTGACCTTGAACAACTTCTATGACCTGCTGGTGGAAAAACAGGTAGTTTCAGACCAAAGGCTGGACTAGACCACAAACCAAGGTCCCAAGTGATAAAAAAGACAAAACATGAAAACCCCTCCAGAGATGCCCGAAGCTCAGTTACTTGGGAGACAAGGACAGCTGGGGCCTGCTCCAGAAGGCGGTGAGGCAGGAGTGACCGTGACTCCAACTCAGGCTGGCCACCACCAAGAATCTAGCTGCGGGCACATCAGAGGACTTCGGAGCCTGTTCCTTCTCGCTTAGAAAAGCTACAGGTCTAGGCAAAGGAGCCGTCCACACACACACACACAGTCTGAGGCGTCCTGTGAGGGGGACCCCTGGTGGAAATCTGCATGACCCTGGCTGACAGCCCACCCAGGCCCAACTGCTCTCTTGGGCTGGGACCCCCAGGCAGTGGCGCTGGGGACCCCTGGGCCCGTGAGGCCTGTGGGTGGCAGCCTCAGTGGGGAATAAGGCCCTCCGACACTGGCAGGCACCACTGACGTGTTCTCTGGGTTTGTACTAGGAACTGCCCCATCGAAATCGCCAAGGGCCTGAGCACTCTCTCTCATTCCCATTCTCTCTGAAAGCAGGAAGAGTATCATAGACAAAACACACTTAAACCATGAAGAGTTTGTTTAAACCCAAGGAAGCTTCTAAACCAGGGCAAGATGAATTCAGGTGGGGGTTCTCCTGGGTTCAACTGATGATGGACACCAGCGTCTCAGCCTACCTATTGCGTCTGAGCCCTGTGCTGGGGCCCTCGGGCACCAGGGAGGTCCCATGGCTTCTCATCCCACTCGGCCACCTCCTGCTGTCTGCCTGCGGCAGTGTCCAGCCTGTTGGGGCCGGTCTCCTCCTCTGCAGACACAGCTAACGGCACAACTCACCCCACACAGTTGGCTGAGGGTCCCATAAGATGATAAATCCTGAGTGCTCAGCAAGGCGCTGGCAGGCGGTAGGTGCTCATCAAAGAAGCCACTAAGTACCCCTCAGAGGCCCCTGGAGCCCCAAAGGGGTGGGATGTGGTGGTGGGGTGTCCCGCCCCTTTTCGAAACATGAAAATGAGCTTGAGAAGTGGTTTCCGGTGCTGGAAATTCAGTTTTTAAAACCATTCTGGACCATGCCCTTCAGACGCTCAGAAGTTCTCTGGGCTACTCGGAAAAATAAGAACTGGTCCTGGTTGGGTCAGCACCATCCTGAGACACACTGGGCCGTCCTGAGACACACTGGGTCACATCTGTTTGATGAACTGTGGTGACAAGAGCGTGACCACAGGGGTCAGGGGGCACCAGAGTGACCCGACTCCCTGCTACTGATGACAAAGCCCTTCCGTGCCCTGAGCAGATGAGAGGTTAAGAAGCAGGACCCAGACGCCAAGACGGCACTGCTCTGGGAACCTAACACTGGGAAGGGCAGCCAAGCCCACGGCCCTGCGGGGAGCAGGAGTGACCGGGGAAGGCGTGCACCGATGGCCCCGGTCTGCTGCAATCAGGCTGTGGCCAGCGCCATGGGGACAGGCCACATGTGTGCAAGGACCTGCTGGGCAGGTTCTGCAGGAACAAACAGATCAAACATGTTACGAATAAAGCGATTTGTATATAACTGGCAGGGGGGTGGGGGTTGGAGACTGAATTGCCCATTCAAATCATTACTTTTTAAAAAAAACATTTCCTCAGTGGACATTTCCAGCTCCACAAAAGAAAGTAATCAAATAGATGTTCTTCCTTAAGTCTTAAACCATGACATTCAGATGATCTATGTGCAAATTAATAAGGTTATAACATAATTTGATTAGGTGACAAAGCCGAGGGAGAGCTGACAAAGAACCAGACTGGCACCACTGCCTTCTTCATGAAGTGGAGCTCTGGAAAAAATCTAGACAAATCACAGGTTGTCTGACCAGAAAACCCCTGACTATGAGCTGTCTACTACTTTAGAGTCAGGAGCTGAACCCTGAAACCTGAATGTGCGAAATTCTAATGATCAAAAAACCCACGGTGCGTCAGGCAGACATGATCACGTGCATTTCTTTTCCACGCTGCAAATCACCACAATCCCAGATTAGCCCAGCCGGCCGGGCGCCTCCCTCCCGTCCGCCTGGGCGGTGAGGTCAATCAGCAGTTTAGGCGCAGAGGTGCAGGCTCAGAAGGCAGCAGCAATCTCCAGCGTGTTCTGGAATCAGAAGTTGAGGTCCACGTCTGATTAGTTCCCTTCATTTCATTAGACTTGGCTGAATGTGTGCTGGCGCCACTACAGCTTTGATTTCAGACTTCCTATGACAGGTTTGTTCACAGAAAACTCTGGCCACCAGGACGCCCGCTCCAACACCTTGCTTTCCTGCAGGACAGCGCCCCAGAGGTTTTTGTAGAGCTGCAAACAACACGTACACAGCAATTGAAGACAAAGAAATAAGAAGGAAAAGATTCCTAGACAGCTGAGTGTGCAAATGCAACTCCTCAAAGTTTTTGTTAAAAACAGGAAATTCGGCCGGGCGCGGTGGCTCATGCCTGTAATCCCAGCATTTTGGGAGGCCGAGGTAGGCAGATCACCTGAGGTCAGGAGTTCGAGACCAGCCTGACCACCATGGAAAAACCCCATCTCTACTAAAAAAAATTCAAAATTAGCCAGGCGTGGTGGCACATGCGTGTAATCCCAGCTACTCAGGAGGCTGAGGCAGGAGAATCACTTGAACCTGGGAGGCGGAGGTTTCGATGAGCCAAGATTGCACCATTGCACTCCAGCTTGGGCAACAAGAGTGAAACTCCATCTCAAAACAAACAAACAACAACAACAACAAAACGGAAATTCTCTCACTTTTTAGAGAAATTTTAAAATGACTTAAATTTATATGAATTTTTTTTAAGTAGAAAACAATTAGGAAAATTCAATTATAAAGTACCATAAAACACATTTATAATGAAAATCACCCCCTCGCCCTCTTCTTTGGAAATTATTGGCTAGGTGAGGTGGCTCGTGCCTGTAATCCCAGCACTCTGGGAGGCTGAGGAAGGCAGATCACTTGAGCTCATGAGCTAGAGACCAGCCTGGGCAACATAGAGAAATCCCATCTTTAAAAAAAAAAAATGCAAAAAATTAACTGGACATGGAGGAGTTCACCTGTAGTTCCAGCTACTTGGGAGGCTGAGGTGGGAGGATTGCTTGAGCCCAGGAGGTTGAGGCTACAGTGGGCCGAGATCATGCCACTGCACCCCAGCCTGGGTGACAGGGTGAGATCCTATCTCAAAAAAAAAAGAAAAGGAAATGATTGTGGGCAGTGGACACCCTGTTTCTTAGTAACTGCAGCCACCACAGGATTCTGCAAGGCTGCATCGACGGCCGCTCTGAAATCTGCTCTCACACCCCAGGCCGCTACAGGCCGCACAGGTGGCACATGGCCACCAGCAGCAGGACGCCCTCGCCTGGTGGCCCTTACTGGCTGACTCCGGGACCTGGGCCACCACACCCTGCTCCTCTTGTCCTGCCCCAGGCCAGCACTCCCCTACGGGATGTGCAGACTTCACTGCTCTCAGCCTAAGCAGCCTCACTGGGAAGATGGGGAGAGACGCTCCTGTCTTGGAGGAAGGCTGTACAAACAAAGGGCGAAGGGCGGCTAAGCAGACGCTTCACCCGTGCAGGTGGGAAGGGGCAGCCCAGCCCATCTCCAGAGCCTGGGGAGGTGGTCTGTTTTGCATCCAGCTTATGACCCTTTTATTTACAAGAAACCCCTCTGCCTGTCCCCGCTAAATACACTTAGCAACCCCTCCTCCCCACTCTGCTACTCTGGGCTCCACAGACGCAGATCCAGGCTGCTGCTCCACAGGGCCTAGGTTCCAGCTTACGTTTCACAGTTTGGAGCAGCAGGCTTGGTTTAAGGATGGTCTCAACTCCCCTACGGCTCTGTTTGTCCGTTTACAGTGAATTTCTTACCCGGCAGCTCCTGGTTAATACACCAGTTCCTTGCAACTGGGAGAAATGTACTTTCTTTTTTTTTCTCTGAGATGAGGTCTCTGTTGCCCAGGCTGGAGTGCAGCGGCACGATCACTGCTCACCACAGCCTGGAGCTCCCCAAGCTCAGGAGATCCTCTCACCTCAGCTTTTGTAATTTTTTTTTTGAGACGGGGTCTTGCTCTGTCGCCCAGGCTGGAGTGCAGTGGCCGGATCTCAGCTCACTGCAAGCTCCGCCTCCCGGGTTTACGCCATTCTCCTGCCTCAGCCTCCCGAGTAGCTGGGACTACAGGTGCCCGCCACTGCGCCCGGCTAGTTTTTTGTATTTTTTAGTAGAGACGGGGTTTCACCGTGTTAGCCAGGATGGTCTCAATCTCCTGACCTCGTGATCCACCCGTCTCGGCCTCCCAAAGTGCTGGGATTACAGGCTTGAGCCACCGCGCCCGGCCAGCTTTTGTAATTTTTATGGACGGGGGTTTTGCTATGTTGCCTAGGCTGGTCTCAAACTCCTGCGCTCAAGGGATCCGCCCACCTCAGCCTTCCAAAGAGCTAGGATTACAGGTGTGAACCACCACGCTCAACCAGGAATGCGCGTTTTATAAACCATCCTGCCAGCAACACCTCCAGTCGGCTCTGGTTTTATCTGTGGAACCGAGCCAGAGGGGCCCCTCCATCTTGGGCACGGTCTCTCCTCTCCTGGGTTGTTCCCTGCCTCTGCAGAGCCAGGCGCAGCGAATGGACACTCAACGCTGCTCCTGTACGGGGCAGACAGTCCTGTGTGCTCGGGGGTCCTCCATGGCGGGTCTGGCTCCACTGTCTCTTCGAATGCCTGTCTACCTGGTGAGCCCCCTACCTCCTGGTGAGACTGCCTCTCCCAGGGAGGTGGGTAGGGCAAGTCCCCCTCCTACGTGCTCCCCCAGGATCCAAGGCTCCCCCCAAGTCTTCTCTCCCTACAGCAGGGCACAGTTTCTTCAAATCCTGGCTCCGCCACTCCCTGGCTGGGAAACCCACTGGGCTTCTCTGGATCTCAGTTCTCAGCAGCAGTGATCATCTGGGCTGTACGGGCTCAGGGGATGGTCAGTGGTCAGCCCCCCGATGCGGGACAGCAGGCCCTCCGCAGAGATGACCATCCCTGCCTCTCCTACTACTGGGAACTCTCACCTCCTGCCCTGCTCACCTGGCCCCTGGCACTACCTGCCTCTTGGCACACCTAGCCCAACCCAGGTGTAGCCTGGGCCATGCTGAGGCCAGGCACTGGGCGCTCCCTGGCTAAGCCAGTAAGGACTCATGCACGGACTTCAGCATTCCCTGAGGACTGAGGGTGGGGTCCTGCCCACTAAGGCTCAATCTCCATTTGAGCAGAGACCCAGTTGCTGGCAGATGCCTCAGCAGAAAGAACTCAGTCGTGGGGACAGGGGGCAGGAATGGGGTTGACCCCTCTGTGGCTCACAGCTGGGGGACCTCAGGGCACGGGACATGAGCACTGACACGCCGAGTCCCTCTAGCAGAAGATGGACACAGCCCTATAAGCAGTGGGGTGCTGCAGGGCACCCAGAGGACCTGTGAGTGTCACCCCTCGAGGGCATCATCAGGTGGGAGGGAGACACAGGGTCAGTGATGAGGCCAGCAAGGGCCACAGTGCCTGGGGCACTGCCTCAGCTGGACGCCAGAGAAGGCCTCTCCAAGGCAGCGACAGTCAGCTTATACTGAAAGAATGCAAGGCACTCCAGGCAGCCAGAGCAGCAGGCACAAGGCCCTGGGGTGGGCACAGGCCTGGCACGACAGATGGAGAGGCCAGTAAGGCTGGATCTGGTGGGCAGGAGGGGAGCGTGGGGTGAAAGACCCTGGAGGGATGCAGTGGCTGCCTGGGGCTGGGGCGTGGCAGGGTCAAGGAGGCTGGTGGGGGCTCCCTCGGGGAGCAGCCCGACTCCATCTGCTTTGAAGAAATCATTATGGAACATGGGCGGCTGGGGAGCCACAGGGAGGCAGCTGGGGGAAAGTGGGACAGGGGAAAGTAACCCCAGTGACAGCCATGGATGGTCAGAGGGGACAGAGGGGCCTGGGGATTCCAGGACAGGGATGGGGGAGAGGCCTGCAGGGCCAGGAGCCTGCATGGTCAGATGGGGGTAAGACCTGGGACGGGGGAGGCCAGTGGGGAGTGGGAAGAGGGCAGAGGCCACAGTGTGTGGACCTCCAACCTCTGCCTGTGCAGGCGGGCAGTGCCACCACCCCATCTCGAGAGGAAAAGGCAGGCAGGGGATGGGCAAATCCCCTGCAACCACAGAGCCAGCATGGCGAAACACCAGAATGAGGCTGTCCCGACTTATCCTGGGCCCTCCCCACAGAAGCTCCCCCAAGTGTGACCACTTTCCAGAAGCCACCAGACCCCCGACCCACAGGAGCATCTCAGCTCCGCAGAAATGCCCATCGGCCCTTGGGGCGCCCCTGCGAGGCCCTGTCCTCCCTTTACCTCGCCGTCGGCTCTGCCAATCGGTGAGTCCAGAACAAAGTCAGGAGGCGCGATCACGTCTACCAGGGCAACTGCGTCGTCTTTCAGCTGTTGGAAAACAAAGCCCAGACACTTGGCGCCTCCCGGGAATTTCCATGGTGACCAAAGGGTAACAGCCCTGTCCGTGTTTGCTAGGACCCACTAGCAACGGGTAACCTGAGCGGCACGTGCGGCTCTGCTGCCAATGCGTGATCTCTTCACTGGCCTGGATTCGAGTCCCCTGCTGTGCGCTGGAATGTTTCCACCATGCTGCTTTTCACTCAGGACTTCCAGGGCTTGTTTATTCCCAACAAGGTAGAAAAGGCCCTTAAAAGTGACGACCCTGCAGCTCGTGAATTAGTAGCTGCCTCCGGAGGCTCATTTCTAAGCCTTGGCTTATGTGGGCAACTGCTGTTCCAGTAAAGGAAAATATGTCCAGAAAACATGTAATAGAGAAGGCATTTATGAGCACTTGGAAAAGCCATAAGCATACGAAGCCTCCTCGGTTGGTAGTGGTTTTATTACTCTCCTATTCCACTGAACAAATTATTCTTCAGTATGACACATGAAATTTATATGAGTGGATTCTCAGACTTTTCTTAAATGCAAAAAAAAGACTGGGCGCGCGTGGCCAAGCCTGTAATCCCAGCACTTGGAGGCCGAGGTTGGGCGGATCACGAGGTCAGGAGATCGAGGACCATCTGGCTAACACCGTGAAAACCCATCCTCTACGTAAAAAATGCAAAAAAAATTAGCCGGGCGTGGTGGCGGGCGCCTGTAGTCCAGCTACTCGGGAGGCTGCGGCAGGAGAACGCGTGAACCCGGGAGTGCGGAGCTTGCAGTGAACTGAGATCCGGCCACTGCGCTCCAGCCTGGGGGATCATTGAGCAAGACTCCGGTCTCAAAAAAAAAAAAAAATTCTCCTTAAAATATTATGAAATGCCGTGGCTACACTGCATGGAACCCAGGAATGGGAGACACTGTTAATGATATGGATCAAAGGCAATCGGTCAGCACAGAGTAATAAAGGCCACAATGGAGAAAGTGAGTGCGCCTCTGCACTTCAACACCGTGCTCTGCAGGGTGTGGCCACCTGGTCCTGGTCCACGTGCCTCGGCATGAAGGCCACAGACAAACGCCACTGCTCCCGGAGAGAAGCACGTGGCAGAGCACAGGTGCTGAGCCCAACAAACGTGTTCCGTAAGGGTCCAGGTAGGAGATGTTACCAGCTTTGTGGGCCATGGTCTCTGGCAACTGCCTGCTCTGCCGTGGTAGCACAAAGACACCCGCAGACGACACTCAGGTGAATGGCAGGACTGGGCTGAATTTGATGGCCCTGGCCTAGCAGATGGCTGGCACCCTCTCCACCTGGCTGACCGTGGCCTCCCCAAGAGAGTGGTGTGGACGGGCACACACAGAGTGGCACACAACGGTCAGCCAGCCTTGGCCATAGCCTCACTGGGAAATCAGATGTGGCTTTTTTTCTATTTTTTTGAGACAGGATCTGGCTCTGTTGCCCAGGCTGGAGTGTGATGGTGCAATTATGGCTCACTGCAGCCTCAAACACGTGGGCTTAAGCCACCCTACCTCAGCCTCTTGAGTAGCTGGGACTACAGGCATGTGCCACCAGGCCTGGCTAATTTTTTAAAATTATTTTTTGTAGGCCGGGCGTGGTGGCTCATGCCTGTAATCCCAGCACTTTAGGAGGCCGAGGCGGGTGGATCAAAAGGTCAGGAGAATCAAGACCATCCTGGCTAACACGGTGAAACCCCGTCTCTACTAAAAATACAAAAAAATTAGCTGGGCGTGGTGGCGGCGCCTGTAGTCCCAGCTGTTGGGGAGGCTGAGGCAGGAAAATGGCGTGAACTCGGCAGGTGGAGCTTGCAGTGAGTCGAGATTGCGCCACTGCACTCCAGCCTGGGTGACAGAGTGAGACTCTGTCTCAAAAAAAAAAAAGAAAAAAAAAATTATTTTTTGTAGAGATGAGGTGTCACTACGTTGCTCAGGCTGGTCTCGAACTCCTGGCCTCAAGTGATCCTCCTGCCTTGGCCTCCCAAAGTGCTGGGATTATAGGCGTGAGTCACCGCACCCAGGCACTTTTTATAAACAACACCTCCCGCTACGCCCCCCTCTGCAAGGCTACCCCTGTGCTTTCCTTGGCTCACCTGCATACTCCGAAGGCCTCCACAGGGTCAACACGGCCCCAAGCGGGTAAAATTTGGCTCTTGGAGGAGCCAAGGAAAACCCCTCCCTGTGGCCGGTTCGATGTTAAGAGGAGTAAATGTGGCCACAAACGTGTACCACAATTAGACACACCCATCTCCAGAACGGCAGGCTCAGGGAAGGGGTTTATACAGTGAATCCCGAGAGAGGCTCACAGCCAGTCACAGGGACATTCCACTGGTCCCAGATCAAGTGTGAAAGCAGCGACAGGGGAGATGAAAGGCCACGTCTCCAGTCACCAGAGATGCTGTGCTAAAATGCAGCAGTACGCGGTCCGGTTCCTACCAGCAAAAGTGGAGTGACGTCTCCGTGGACACAGTGGCCCTGCCCGCCGCGGCAGCACCAGCACCAGCACAAGTGGCTCCTCAAATTCAGTGCGATGAAAGGAAATCTGAGACCCTCACTCACACAGCCGCCTCCCCCCCACCCAGCGTCTACCGTGCTAACCAGCACAGCAAGGGGGCTTCTGTCCCTGGATGGAAGACAGCTGCCAGATCAGAACGTGGGGTTGGGGCCCTCTGATTTCCTGGGTGACATAGGTAATAGAATATAGTAAACAAGGACACCGCCAGGACACAAATTGGAGGCTGAGTCCCCTAAACGCTCAGAGAATTCTCAAAGTAGCTGCAAACGGTGTGTGAGAGGGTCTGGGTGTGTGCAGATCTGGAGACAGCCCGACAGGTTACTTTTGCAGAAATTTCTGATGTGGGCATATTTTCTTGTAATCCTCCAGTTTTTACTAAACCCTGAACAAACATGAATGTTTGGGTTGCAGAGGCAGTGCATGCCGGCTCTGGGTGACGCTAAGGGGGTGCGTTTTGGTCTGGGTGATGCTAAGGGGGTGCATGTCGATCTGGGTGACGCTAAGGGGGTGCGTGTCAGCTCTGGGTGACACTAAGGCAGTGCGTGTCAGCTCTGGGTGACGCTAAGGCAGTGTGTGTCAGTCTGGGTGACGCTAAGGTGGTGTGTGTCAGCTCTGGGTGACGCTAAGGCAGTGTGTGTCGGCTCTGGGTGACACTAAGGAAGTGCGTGTCAGCTCTGGGTGATGCTAAGGGGTGGATGTCGGCTCTGGGTGACGCTAAGGGGGTGCGTGTTGGCTCTGGGTGACACTAAGGCAGTGCGTGTCAGTCTGGGTGACGCTAAGGTGGTGCGTGTCGGCTCTGGGTGACGCTAAGGGGGTGTGTGTCGGCTCTGGGTGACACTAAGGCGGTGCGTGTCAGTCTGGGTGATGCTAAGGTGGTGCGTGTTGGCTCTGGGTGACGCTAAGAGGGTGCTTGTCGGCTCTGAGTGACAGGGGGTGCGTGTCGGCTCTGGGTGACACTAAGGCAGTGCGTGTTGGCTCTGGGTGACGCTAAGGCAGTGTGTGTCGGCTCTGGGTGATGCTAAGGTGCATGTCGGCTCTGGGTGACACTAAGGGAGTGAGTGTCAGCTCTGGGTGATGCTAAGTCAGTGGGTGTCGGCTCTGGGTGACGCTAAGAGGGTGCATGTCAGCTCTGGGTGACACTAAGAGGGTGCGTGTCGGCTCTGGGTGACGCTGAGGGGGTGGGTGTCGGCTCTGGGTGTCGCTAAGGGAGTGGGTGTCGGCTCTGGGTGACGCTAAGGGGGTGCTTGTCAGCTGTGGGTGATGCTAAGGCGGTGCGTGTTGGTCTGGGTGACACTAAGGCAGTGCGTGTCAGTCTGGGTGACGCTAAGGTGGTGCATGTCAGCACTGGGTGATGCTAAGAGGGTGCGTGTAGGCTCTGGGTGATGCTAAGGGGGTGCGTGTCAGCTCTGGGTGATGCTAAGGGGGTGGGTGTCAGCTCTGGGTGATGCTAAGAGGGTGCGTGTCGGCTCTGGGTGACACTAAGGGGGTGCGTGTCAGCTCTGGGTGATGCTAAGGGGGTGGGTGTCAGCTCTGGGTGATGCTAAGGCAGTGTGTGTCGGCTCTGCGTGACGCTAAGGCGGTGCGTGTCAGTCTGCGTGACGCTAAGGCAGTGCGTGTCGGTCTGGGTGACGCTAAGGCGGTGCGTGTCGGTCTGGGTGATGCTAAGGTGGTGCGTGTCGGTCTGGGTGACACTAAGGTGGTGCGTGTTGGCTCTGGGTGATGCTAAGGTGGTGCGCGTCAGCTCCTCTGGGTGACACTAAGGTGGTGCGTGTCGGTCTGGGTGACGCTAAGGGGGTGTGTGTCAGCTCTGGGTGACGATAAGGCAGTGCGTGTCAGCTCTGGGTGATGCTAAGGCAGTGCACGTCGGCTTCTCTGGGTGACACTAAGGTGGTACGTGTCGGTCTGGGTGATGCTAAGGGGGTGCGCGTTGGCTCTGGGTGACACTAAAGCAGTGTGTGTCGGCTCTGGGTGACGCTAAGGGGGTGCGTGTCGGCTCTGGGCGGTAGTGTAACATGGATGTAGAGAACACGGCAGTACCCACGGCTCACCTGGGAACACAGGGCCAGGACGGCGCTCTCCAACACTTCTCCTGCCTGCTCACCAGAGAAGTATCCACCTGCAAGCATAGCCTCGGTCATGTGGGGGCTGGGTCCTCAGTCCAAAACCAACCCCAATACCAACATGCCCTGAGTGCACTTTCCAAATTGGCCACATAGGAGGCCTGTTTTGGGTGAACACATCAGTGTCATTGCTGTCCCCAGCCCAGCTGTGACCCGAGGAACGTGCTGGCTCAGGGGCCGAGTTCTGACACCCTTTTCCCACTCAGCCATTGATGGTCTCTGGCCTGGGGCAACAAGGGAGGCAAGGTCCCAGGCTCAGAGGTGACGGGTGGCCACTGGGCTCACACCTGCTGGGGCTCAGGGAGGCTGGGTGGGTTCCTCCCTCGGGAGGAAGCAAGGAAGGGGCTCCTGGGCAGAGCGAAGCAGGGGTGCATGGCAGGGGGCGCAGGGGCGAGGGGGTACCTGGGACCACCCAGGGGAGTGGGGAGGGGGGTGATGGGCGCCTGCAGGGACTCAGAGGCTGCAGGGGGACTTGGCCCTTGGTGTCGCCTCCAGCCGCTGTGGTTTCTGGTGGGGCCCTAAGAGGTCCAAGGCCGTGGCCTTGTGCGTTCGGGAGCGCATCTGTGGCAGGATCTGCGTTTGCTATGATTTTTGCTGGCGAGAACTGTGTCTTATCACTTAGGGTTTTTCTCAGGTAGCAGTGGGGCTCGTGCCCTGTGCCCGCCCTCTCTGGCAGACACTCGTGTCCCTTCCTTGGTGCACCTGGGCATGGTCAAGGCCTCCACGGGGTCAGCACCACCTTCCAGGGGCTAAACGCTGGCTCTTGGGGTAGGGAGGATCTTATTCTTCACAAGCCCAGAGATGCAGGACATGAATGGATACGTGGTATATCCTAGTACCAAAGATGCATGGGTGCCAGCCATTGGGAAGAACCACCTAAAAAGACTTGCTGGGGGCAACAACCAACAAAAGGTTGACAAACTTTGGTTTACCCCATTCCCACCAATCCTCCAGGAATCAGCCCCAGCACCCCGTCCTCCAGGAAGTCTTCCAGGGTTCCCAAATCTAGACACTGCTGGCTCGTGTCTCTCTGTGCCTTATGGGACCTAGGGGGTGGGCTTCTGCTCTCTGCAGAGCCCGGCAGGCTGCCTGGCACGAGGGGGCCTTCTGGAAGTGCTCTCTGAACCGAACCCCAAGTGAAAGGAAAATTGGATCTCTTGGCACCACCCTGACACTGTTCTGCCCCATATGCCTCTCATTATGGAAGTGGGCTCCTCATCTGTCCACAGCGCCCTCCGCCATGCTCAGTAAGTCCTGTGGAAGGAGGACAATGGTGCAGGAAGCAGATTCCTAGATACAACAGCGGGGCCCTGACTCTGGGGAGGACGCAAGCCCGCAGTCAGAAGCCTCACCTCGGTAGAGCAGGGCCGCGTGGCGGCTCAGGGACCACAGGGCGTACAGAGCACTGAGCCGCCCCAGCACGGCCCGCAGCGAGGGCGGCACGCAGGGCTGGTGCACGTGCTCGTGGAACCTCTGCACCACGGTGAGCTCCAGGAAGGCCAGTGCCAAGGGACGGCCGTGGGACACCTGGAACACAGGACGGCACCATAAGGACCATGGAAGTCCCAGCCCCGCCCAGATTCCCGGTGGAGGAAGTTCTCAGGAAACACGAACGCAGGTCTGCATTCCCGTGCAAGTCCTAGGACAGTAACATGAGGTGAGGCAGCACACAGACGCCGTGCAGCATAAGACGTTTCTAGAACACGATGGAGAAGGCCTATGTGAAGATGGAGCTGGGAGTGCTCTGGCTCCACCGACGCCCTCCAAGGCCTCAATCTCAGCTCAGCTCCCATCTGGGACTGGGAGAGGCACGGTCATTGCACACCGGGCCTGGGGCAGGCTTCGGGATGCTCTGCGGCTACAGTGTGGGCGCCCACCAGGAGGCCCCCGAGGGCCCAGGACCTGGCTTCTTCCACACAGGAAGACAGAGGAGCTGGAGAAGGGGCTTGTCAAGCTCCTCCCTGAGCTCAGAATTGACTTCGCTTCTCCAAAGGAACTGCCACCCCCTCCTCCAAAGCCTCCAGAGCACGCTTCTCTCCTTTCTCTCCATGCCGTACGTCCCCCGCAGGCTCTGCTGCTCCCATCTTTATGTCCATGAGTGCCCAATGTTTAGCTCCCATTTATACGTGCGAACATGCAGCATTTGGTTTTCCGTTGCTGCGTGAGTTTGCTGAGGATAACGGCTTGTAGCTGCATCCATGTTGCTGCAAAAGCCATGACTGTTGGTAGTGATGGCTGCACGGTATCCCGTGGTATCTATGTACCCCATTTTCTTTATCCAGTCCACCGCTGTGGGGCACCCGGGTTGATTCTACAGTTTTGCTATTGTGAATAGTGCTGCGATGGATGTACAGGTACATGTGTCCGGCTGGCAGGATGATTGCTTTTCTTTGGGGTATGTACCCAGTAATGGGATCGCTGGGTCGAGGGGAAGGGCAACTCTTAGCTCTGAGAAATCGCCAAGCTGCCCTCCACAGTGGCTGAACTAATCTGTGTTCCCACCAACCGTGTATCCATGTCACTCTTCTCCACAGCCTTGCCAGCATCTGCTATAATATCAAAAACATTTGCTGATAATCATCAACTTCACTTATTAGCCTTTCTTTCCCTGTCTCCCATTTATCATCTCACCAGATATTTTAAATTAGGAAAACAACACACGCATTGCTTGACTTGTTAGGATGAGCAGGTGCCATTTTTAAAATTAAAAAAAAATCCAGCCAAGTGATGAAATACAGGGTATGGGGGACCGACTGCTGCAGGAGGACCCGGCTGCATGCCTGGCCTATGCTGCTGCCCCAAATCTTCCCAGAACACAGCAGGGCGAAGCACACGGCAGCAGGGTCTCCAGTGACATAGCCAGTGTCCTCCAGGGCCCTGTTGGGATCAGGAGCCTCGGGAAAACAGAAACCGGGAGAAGCTGCTTTCCCGCTCTGCTTCGTGCCAGCCTGACGGGTCCTGTCCCAAGACCCCCGCTGGGTCCTGCACACTCATGGGTGGGCCGTCCCATTGGTGCCACGAAGGCCTGTCCTGCTCCCTGCTGTCTGAGCATGGAGTGTGCCAGCCCGGGGCCTTGGGGCTTCCTGCCCTCTCCTGATCTCACACGTGCCATAGCTCTGGGCCTTGGTTTTGGCGGGATCTGGACTTGCACTGGGGCCGTGGGGACTGCACGACAGACCCCAGCTAGGATTAGCACCCAGAATTCCCAGAGCCCTGCCAAGTGAGGTGGGGCAGCCCTCAGGCTCCCACCCGAGGCCTCTGGCAGGAGGCTGATAATACAGGCCTGTGGGGGAGCTGCCAGGCGTGGTGCTGCAGCTCCAGGCCTCACCGCCTCCTCCTTTCACCTTCCATGAAACAAGCGGGCGACGGCACCTGCACCCCCGCAAGCTACTCCTGCGTCCACGAGAACATGGCAATTCCATTGAATCCGCCCACACCCCAAAACGTGCTCCCACACCACAAGGGCCTCTCCTCTCGCCATGGGTCCTCTGCGAACCCCAATCCCAGCCAATCCCAGCAGGGCCCGGGCACAGAGAGGCGGTCCTCAGAACCGAATCTGAGTCTGAGCCCTGTGCCTGCACCACTCTCCCCCTCACCTGCAGTCACCACGCCGCTTCAGTGTGTTTTGCCATGAAAGTGACAGAGTGTGATACAGCAATGGCACAGGCCAGACAGGCCACGGGGGCCAGAAAGACAGCCCCCTCTGGAACCTTGCTGCTGTCAAATAATGCATCCCGAGTGCCAGTGAGTTTTGAAACACAGAGTCACTCGGCTCTGCAGCTGTGCAAGAGAGCAAAAGGCATCATACAAGCCTCAGTGTTGTCTCCCGTGTGGTGCTGCTGGGGTCAGGGCAGCCCTCTCACAGGAAGCGCCTGCGATGGCAGCTCTATTGTGCTCGACGGCATCTCAGTCCCCAGGATTTGCCTGCATGACACTGCGCTGTTGTTCCAGGAAAGGTCCACATAAGGCCAGCAGTCACCGGGGGGACACAGGCTCCGAGGATGGGCTCCCTAAACAGTGCCTGCCATGGCAACCAGCAGAGCTGACCACAACATTAACCAACGCGGGCTGGGGCCCAGGAAGCATCCCACGTGGTATGAACTCCGGAGACCCGTGGGGACAGTAATGTCTCAGGTGCAGTCCCTCCCCATGGCCAAAGTGTCCCCATAGCTATGGTTAGGGCTGGCGCACTCCAGCCAAGAGTGCTCACGGCACCCACAGACACATCTGGGAGTCCCACTGCCCCCACCAGCTGCCCCCAGACAGGGCAGGGGCTGGACTGTGCTCTACGGGGATCTTCTGGACCACCTCAACTGCCCCTCCAGAGCTGCCAAACTGTCCCCAGCTAGGACTGGGATAGGCACTTCTCAGGCTCCATGCAGCTATGGTCAGCTGTCCCTTTACAGCAGTAAACCCGGACACCCAGGAAATCTTCAGCACAGAGAGAGGGGAGGGTCCCAGTCTGGTACACTCTGATTTCTGAAGTACATTTTAAGAGGCAATGGATATAGTTCAGGCAAAAAACCAAACCCCAAATGGTCCAAATTCAAACAGCAGCCACGCAGCCTGGGGAAAGGGCTGGGCTCTGTGACAGCTGGCCTGGGTGCAATCCTGGCCCCGGCACGGGTGAGCTGGGGGACCTTGGGCATTTCTCTTGGCCTCAACTTCCTTCACTCCCAAAGTAGACAACGTGAAACGACCCAGATACAGAATCCAGCATGTGGCTCAGGGAGAACAAATGTCCTTGTCCTTGTCTGCCTTCTGATGTGCAAATTCCTGAAGGGAACCTGGAGCCCTTGTGACAGGGGTCGATCCCAGGCTGGAGGCAGGCTGCGGGGACGCCACCACCCACCTTTTTAGTCCCAAGCTGGAGGCAGGCTGCGGGGACGCCACCACCCACCTTTTTACTCATAGGCTGGAGGCAGGCTGCGGGGACGCCACCACCCACCTTTTTAGTCCCAGGCTGGAGGCAGGCTGCGGGGACGCCACCACCCACCTTTTTAGTCCCAGGTTGGAGGTCAGTAGAAGGGACGCCACCACCCACCTTTTTAGTCCCAGGCTCGAGGCAGGGTGCGGGGACGCCACCACCCATCTTTTATATCTACTGGCTGTTGAACATGTGAAGGTGTCACTCAGCCGAAAAATGAGAGAAATGCATTGTTAAAGACCTTTCTGCGCATGCCTGGCTTACGGTGGGTAAATGGTAGATAGCGGTTATTGGCAAGAGCCAGAAAATGTTTAAAGGTTAATCAATTTTCCCCACCAGGTCAAAGAGTAAGCACACTTCTCACAAAAATGGCCAGTAACCTTCTCAAAGGACACAGCCGCCACCCTCTCCACGAACGGCGCTGCTGCCCGAGCGCAGCCTGATGCCTGCGAAGGATGGCTTTGACCTGCAGCTCCTGGCCCTGCCTGCAGGTCAGCGGCTGCTAGGGCTGGTTTCCGACCGGGCGGGCATCTATCCGAAGGAGTTCCTTCCTTCCTGGGGGTGTTCTCTGTCAGCGACACGCCACGTGGGCTTCCCCAGTCTGCTGTGTGGCTTCTGATTTTGTTCAGAGCATCTTTTGCAATGCAGAAATGCTGAACCTTTATGCAGCCAAATCCGATGGTTTTATTTTTTAACAGCTTCCGGCTCCCATCTTCCTGAAAAGGCTGGTCTAGGCTGAGGCTTTCTTCTCATGCCGTATTGCAGGGGAAGGGGCTGCATCTCCCATGGGCCCCTTAGCATCCAGCCCAGGCCCCAAGGGCTCTCAGCTGTCACAAACGTCCCCTGCTCTTGAAAGCTCTGCGACCCAGAGCAGGTCTGGAGCACGAAGCCCCACCCTGGCAACTGCTTTCCCTCCAAGGCCTTGTGGCTGGTGTCTATGGGTGTCTGTCAGCTCGGCCCAGGGTCACCGTCTCAGCTGGACTCAGAACCCAGGACCCCTCCTGGCCTCTGCCGCAGGACTCCCTGAAATTCTGTTACCAAGTTCTCGAAGGAAAAGCTGAAGGTAAGTGGTTTCTCAGCAGCTGAGCCACGCACTCGGGGTGTTGTGGGGTCACACATGCCGCGGCCCCAGCATAGGCCGGGGCTGGAAGGGGGTGCTAAGGACCTACCAGGCAGTTCTAAGAGACACAGGTGTTGTTAGGAATGGGGTCCTTTTGTGCCCTCCGTTTCTGGGGGTCTTGTTTCATAACTCATTGGAGAATCTCCATTCCATTAAAAAAATTCTTTTTTTCTTTTCTGAGACAGGGTCTTGCTCTGTTGCCCACGCTGGAGTGCAGTGATGTGATCGCGGCCCACTGCAGCCTCAACCTCCTGGGCTCAAGCGATCTTCCTGCCTCAGCCTGCCTGATGCGCTGGCATTACAGACATGAGCCAGTGCAGCAGCCTATTCCACCTTAACACGAGGATGTGGCCTGCAGAGGAGGGAGCGGTGGAAGCTGACAGGCATCCACTGGTTTCTGAATGACCCAACCTGCCGTGTTATCAGCCAGGATGGGTACAGAAGGCAGCCTGTTCTGGAAGAGTCACTTCAAGTCTCCTATTTTCGGTCACCATGGCCCTAAACTACAAGTTTTACTGACCCTGGCCACCTGCTGACTTCATTTCTTTTCAGCTATAAATTCAATCTGGTTTTCTTTTTTTCTTTTTTTTTTTTTTGAGATGGAATCTTGCTCTGTCACCCAGGCTAGAGTGCAGTGGTGTGATCTCGGCTCACTGCAACCTCTGCCTCCCATGTTCAAGCAGTTCTTCCTGCCTTAGCCTCCCAAGTAGCTGGGACTACAGGTGCCTGCCATCATGCCTGGTGAATTTTTTGTATTCTTAGTAGACACCGGGTTTCACTGTATTAGCCAGGATGGTCTTGATCTCCTGACCTTGTGATCCACCTGTCTTGGCCTCCAAAAATGCTGGGATTATAGGCATGAGCCACTGCGCCCGGTCCAATCCGGGTCTCTTTGAGCTCGGCAGGAGCCCATCCTTCCCGCCTTCTCTCCTCATCCCAGGGCAGGTGTGTGCAGCAGGTTCTAGAGGTGCTGGCCTGAGGGGCGCGGCTGCCCTCCAGCAGCAGGCTGTGGGGTGCCAGGCCTTCCCAGAGACAGGCAGACGTGGACCTGGGTCCCCACAGCGGCTTCATTATTGAAGCTGACCCATAACTTCATGAACTGACACTAGGGAGAAGGGGCGACAGCAGCTCTCTCCGTATCCATGGCCTCCCTGCACAACACTCATGGCCTGAGTCTCCCCATAGCTATGGTTAGGGCTGGCGCACTCCACCAAGAGTGCTCACGGCACCCACAGACACATCCGGGAGCCCCACTGCCCCCAACAGCTGTCCCCTAGACAGGGGAGGGGCTGGGCTCTGCTCTAGGGCAGACAGCCGGGACAGGGCTGGAATCACACGGAACCAGGCTCCTGGCATGACAAGGCGTTTTATAACAGGCTGTTTTTTCCCTGTGGCTTCCCAGAACACAAAAGACAGCCCTGTCCAGGCGTGAGAACCAAAGCACTTTCCAAGGCCAATGACGACCCACTCACCATTGCCACCCCAGCCCCTCGGGAAGGCAAGAGCAACTTGTGGAAAACCAGCAGGGCGCTGGCGTCACTCCCATGAGTCAGGAGGGAGCACCCTGAGTGTCCGCAGTGGTGTCCCTGCCCGTCTGTGCATCCAAGGCTCTCACAACCCAGCGCTTCACTGCTCTGGTTTATGGGCTGGGAACCGTCAGGCACGGTAAATGTAACATCCATGACCTCCCCAGCCCAGCAAGACAGGTGCCGCCATCCCTGTGTTACAGAGGAGCTGAGCAAGCAGCAAAGTCATCAAGTCATCTGCCCAGGGTCACGGGAGCTCAGGGTCTGGGGCCTGAACTGCCAGGGACACAACGACTGGGGAATTAAGAGCAAATAATACAAAAGGGAATTTTGAAAACAAATACCTACCTGGCAGTTATTCCTTGCTTCAAAGTCACTGCTTCCTGATCTTTTCTCTTGGTTTAATTTTTGGTAAGTCTCTCGGAGCAGGTAGCAAACCAGCCACTTGTACGCTGCCAGGGCGACTTTGGAACGAGAAACAGAAGGAGAAAAAGTAACAATAGAGAAACTAGCATTTGTCACGACTCACCCCCAGGGACAAGGCACTGCCAGCATCCTGCAGGTACGGTGTCATCTTCGTGACGAGCAGGCGTATGGGGTGGGTCTGATTTTATAGGTAGGGAAACTGAGGCACAGGGACGGGATCTGCCCAGGGCCCCTCTGGCTGGAGGCACTTCCTGGCTCAGGCTGGGGCTGTCCTGAGTTCTACACTGTTCCAGCAGCCTGGAGGCCACAGGGGCACGGTGCCGCCACTAGAGCGGACCCTCGAGTGCGACAGCCGCACGTTCTCGCACGCACCAGGCTCGGTCTGTGTGAAGCATGGTGCTGTCCCTGCAGCATCAGCCAGGACTGCATGGGCAGCAGGACAACTGCCCGGCGGTGGTGCCCAGTGGCGAGAGGAAGGGGTGCTTCCGTTCACCTCCCCCTGCCTGGCCCCTGGACCTCACTGCCTGCTGGAGCTGTGGAACTGGGGACTGACACGGTGGGGGAGGGGGTACCTGAGGCCTCGTACCCTGGGGGGCCCCCCCGACAAGATTCAAAAGGGCAGGAGGGAGCAGATGCAGCAGACAGGGAGGCCCTAGGGTGAGGTGTCAGGCAGGACAGCTGGAGCCCCCTCTTCATTCTCCCCTTCCCCTGGCAGTGGTGCCCACATCTGCAGGGCCCGCTACAGCGTGGCCAGAGCTGGCCTCCCACAGTTCTCCCTATGGAGCAGGCATGGTCCTGAGACCCCACCAGGCTGTACTGCTACCACTCCCCTGATGAGGACATGGGCCCAGGCACATGGTGAGCATGTAGGGGAGGGGTGCGGACCAGCCGCACATGGAGGCCACGCTCACACCCACTCCCTGCCCAGGCACAGAGGGCCTGGCGCCCGGACATGAGGCGCCTCCAGGCTGCAGGGGGCCTTCTGCCTGGCAGCCGGTCTTGCTCAGAGATCCCAGGCAGGAGAATGGGGTCAGCCACGCCGAGTCTGAGCCCAAAGGCTGAACTCAGGGGGACTTGAGATTTCCTTCTATGTCACACAGCCCAGGTCACTGGGAAGAAAACACCCAACGTTGCAGTTCCTGCCACAGCACACCCGACTGCTTTCAGCTGTTACATCCATTCACCCTCAGCATAACTGAGAGGAACTGAGTCATAAACCAGAGCAGGCCGTTCCCCAGGCTCAGACATCAGGCGGCGGCCGGAGGTCTCAGCTCCCCAGCGGAAGGAAAGGCAGGTGCCGCTGACCCCGCAGGGCGCAGGCAGGGCTGGGCGGAGGTTTCCTCCATACAGGCATCTTCAGGGAGCCAAGGCTCCCCTTGCCAAGTCCTGCCAGGCATGAGGCATTGAATGGTGGCCCCAACTGACTCCCACGGCTGTGAATATGACCTTTGTTGGGAAGAGGGTCTTTGCAGATGTCATGACGTTGAGGTACTGAGGGAGGTCATCAGGGACTTCTGGACTAGGGTGGACTCTAAGTCCAATGACACGTGTCCTTACAAGATGCAGAGACGGCAAAGTCACAGAGGAGGCAAAGGCCAGCATGATGCAGCCGCAGCCAAGGACTCCTGGAGCTCAGGGGCCTGGGCAGGAGGACTCCCCCGCAGAGGGAGCGGCGCAGCCCTGCCCATCCTGCCTTGGGGTTTCCGCCTCTGCACCGAAACAGTCACTGTCTGCTATCTTTGGTGCCCAGGCCGTGGCCCTCTGCTGCTGGCAGGCTGCCCAGGGCTCATCCGTGAGCCTCACATGCTACCCTTCAGGACATTACAGGAAAATTCAGGTCCATTTTGCAACCAATGCTGAGGGGAGGCCCTCATGACCACCGCCTGTTCCTAAAGGCTCTGCCACATCCCAAGCTCTCCCCAGCAGGGCAGATGGTCACGAACAGCAAGGAAAGGTGGACGCTGTGCAGTTGTGCTTTCCATGACTTATTTACATAGCAACAAAACCAAGGAAACGGTCCGGCCAGAAACCGCTTGTGCAAATTCCTTCTGACCACACCAGAGGCCCCCGTGTCCCACCACGCATCAGCCGTAGCTGGGCTTCCCTCCCAGCCTGTCCTGGCCGTTCCCAAACACTGCCCCGGGAGGTGTCCCTCTGTGGTGGACACTTCACGGCAGTTACCCGAGTTTTCCAATCTATCTCTGCAACCAGAATTAACCCATGAGGCTTCCCGTCGACGGCCAGTTAGACCGTGCTGTGGGCTGCAAGTGAGACGAACGCTTGAGAAATGAGGTATGTTTGCACCGTGTTTTTCCTTACACTCTGCTTTGGGTTCTTGGTTTTTCATTAAAAAATAAAGCATGTCAGTCTGATGTGTTCACACGCAGGGGAGAAGATCCCCCAAAAAGCAGATGACAGCAAACGGAAGGTGGGTGCCATGTGTGCCATTTCCAGAGTTAATCTGGAAGTGAAACAGTATCGCTGAAACAAAGTACGTGGAAGATGGGCACTGACGGGCAGCGAATTCTCTTGCTTGGAATATGGCTGCTGGCGGCCCGAGGACACACCCAGCGTCAGCAACCTCTGTCCTTAAGACTCTCCCAGAATCCTGGGTCACCACAGCCTTTCCATGTGCCACACACCAGACGGACTCTCGAAGGTGCCCCCAGCTGCCCTGTGCACCCAATGACTGCCCCTCGACCTGCCCCCCTCCGCAGCTGGGACTCCGTCCTTGACCCCATGGAGAGCTCCTCGCATGCACTGCCTGCCTTTCAGGTGTCGGTTTCCTCTCCTGTCTCTGAGTCCAGTCCCCGCTGCGTCAGCATCGGAGCACTCCTAACTCGGATTCTGACCCAGGCAAGCCCTGGAAAGCAAGGCCTGGACGGCGGCCCCAACTCCTCAGCCAGATCACGGGCCCGGGTCTGACCATGCCCACCGCTCTGGTGCTCCAGAATGGCCGGTGCTCCCCAAAAGCACAACACACAGACCCTCCAAGACACCCTCAGGTGCCGGCTTTTTGGGAAACATTCCTTGACCCACCAAGACAGACCTCACCTGCACCTGTGTCTGTTGTTTCCAATGAAGTGTTCAGGACAGTGGCCCCCCACACACAGCAGCCCCCCACTGAGGGCACCATGGCCTGGCACCTGCCAAGTGGCACGAGGTGACCACATTCCCTCTCCACTGTCTTGCAGGAGGAAAACAGGCTCAGAGAGATTAAAGCCTAGCTCAAGGTCACAGCGGGGGGCAGTGCTGACCCAAGAGCCTGTGCTCCCATCCTCTGGGAACACTGTCTGCACCATGAACCCCACTGCTCACCTCACATGACCTCACCATGCACTCCACGTGACCTCACCACTCACCCCACGTGACTCCACCGCTCACCCGTGACCCCACTGCTCACCTCACATGACCTCACCATGCACTCCATGTGACCTCCCTGCTCACCCCACGTGACTCCACCGTTCACCTGTGACCCCACTGCTCACCTCACATGACCTCACCATGCACTCCACGTGACCTCACCGCTCACCCCACGTGACTCCACCGTTCACCTGTGACCCCACTGCTCACCTCACATGACCTCACCATGCACTCCATGTGACCTCACCGCTCACCCCACGTGACTCCACCGCTCACCCGTGACCCCACTGCTCACCTCACATGACCTCACCATGCACTCCACGTGACCTCACCGCTCACCCCACGTGACTCCACCACTCACACATGGCCCCATGTCACCTCTGGCCTACATTCTGTGACCTTGCAGTCCACACATACACACGTGTCCGGGTAGTGAACACTGCAACTGCTTACTACGAATGCACACCAGCCAGCTAAAGGAGAACAGGGACCGTCGAAGGAAGCAACAGCACAGGCCCCAAGGCACAGGGCTGTGACACTCAGCTCAGCACACAGGCCTGTGCAAAAATCAGAGGAACTCAACAGAAAACCCGGCCTTCCCTACCCAAGTCAGAATAGGAACCCCTGAAGGACCAGCCATGGGCTTGGCAAATCCTCCACCCTTCCTCACAGGCGAGCGCAACCCTGGAAGAGGCCTGTGTCTCTTCAATCCTGCAGAGCCTGAGGGCCCCACATCACTTACACAGCTTTTACCAAAGATCCACATGACGCAGGCTGCAGTCAGCCCTGGGCCCTGGGATCTGTGACCAAATGCCCTTGAGACAACGGGGCTGGCAGAATCCACAAGCTTCCCTGCGGTGTGAGGAATAATGGTGATCTCGCTCCCACACCACTTTCCACAAGAGAAAGTCATTTGCCTTTGTTACTCTGGAAAACGTTTTCACTTTGTTGCATCTTGTAAACATTAGGGCAGTTGCAGGAAAAGCAGATGACTTTGGTGTCTCTCCCGACGATGGAGAGACTGTAAAATTGCTTTTGCTTTCACAGTCTCAGGGGAAGGGGAGGGAAGAGGAGAGGGTGATGGGCACATGGAGAAGCTGGCTGCGCCGTCTATGTTTTGATTTTATTAATATAGGGAGTGATGGTTTTAGGAAAAAGGTTTTCGTTGGGTTGAAGTTACTACAATGATTAGGTCATTTTCTAGTTCTTCCTGTGGCAACATTTGGGAAGCTTAGAAACTGACTTGGGGCCGGGCGCGGTGGCTCACCCCCCGTAATCCCAGCACTTTGGGAGGCCGAGGCAGGCGGATCACAAGGTCAGGAGATCGAGACCATCCTGCCTAACAGGGTGAAACCCCATCTCTACTAAAAAGTACAAAAAATTAACCAGGCGTGGTGGCGGGCGCCTGTAGTCCCAGCTACTCGGGAGGCTGAGGCAGGAGAATGGCGCGAACCCGGGAGGCGGAGCTTGCAATGAGCCGAGATCGCGCCACTGCACTCCAGCCTGGGCGACAGAGAGAGACTCCGTCCAAAAAAAAAAAAAAAAAAAGGTGACTTGCAAACATCAGAAATAGGTCATCAAAACGTGTCCCCATTTCCTACTGGCACCCAAATAGACAGGCTGAGGTGTGCACGGTTAGTTACCGTCAGAAGCTATAACCCAGCGCAGGGCCCACGGGAAACCAAGCAGTGACGCGGGCGCTTCCTGATACGATGCTGACAGTGCAGGCAGCGGAAGGCGCCGGGAAGCTGGCCCGGCCCAGGCTCCACACGGGCTTCGTCCATGGCTGTGTGTTCTTTGCCGTGTGAACAAGTAGCCCACAGGGCTGGAGACGGACAAGGGCACACGCTCGGGGGCTGCTATCACATCCACGGCGTCGGTCCTGAAGGCCGGAATGCGTCTTCCACGTGCGCCTGTCCCCTGCGTGGCGGAGGCCTGCGCTCCCTCCTCCCGAGGATCCAGGGGCCTCCCAGAACCCGTGGGGACCCTCACATTCTGGTCTCCTGAATGCCAAGCCAAGAGCGTCCTCCATCTCCAAATCCCTGCTCTATCCGCCCAGCTGAGTGTGCCGCACCTTGAGAGTGGTTCCTGCCCAAACTCTGTGGCTGCTGAGCTGAGCACTGATTTGGCGCCAAGTGCTGCACTAAGTGCTTTAAGCGCTGAACTCAGTCCACCGTACGAAAACGTTATGAAGGGGATACCATTACCATCCCTGTGCTGCAGATGAGGAAACCGAGGCAGGAAAGCTGAGGAACTTGCTGTAGGTTCCACGGCCGGCAGGAGGAGGGACCGGGATCAACCTCCGGCAGCCTGGCGGGAGCTGATGTCTCGCTCCGGACAGTGGGCCTGCTCTTCCAGTCTCGGATGTCACGGAGGGGTTAGTTTCTACCTGGCCCACCGGGACAGTGCATTGGGACCCCTCTCGGCCCTTCTCTTCTGCACAAATAGGTGCTTTGGTGGCAAAGCAAAGACGTTCACTAAAAACCGCTGAGTGAGGTGATGGGGAGATGGAGGCGTCGCTGCGGGTTCGAGCTGTTCTCTGTGATATGCGGCTTGACAGATGGGGGCTGTGGTGGGAGGAAGGCATATCACAGGGACACGGGTGGCATGGAGGTGGGGGCAGCTCCAGCCCGGCTCTTTCTGTCAAATCTCACCCAGACCAATGGGCAAGAAGCATCCAGGAGGAGTAACAAGAGATTCAGAGCTTTGCAGTCCCACAGGCTTGGGTTTGAATCCTTGCTCTGTCCCTGCCTGCACCCAGGCAGCCAGAGCCGAGTGCTCTTTAGGAGTACCCTGTAGGACACGCAGAGCTCTGCCGGGTGCTTCTATGTGGGGGCGCAGGGCAGCCCCTCTCACCTGTCCCAACCGCCTCTCACCTCCGTTTCCACAGAGCAACCAGAGTGGCCTTTTTCCATGAGGAACATTTTTAAAAATATGAATCATCAAAACAAGTAGCACACCCCATTCCACCAGGCCTCTGGCGCTCACCTCCGGTCATTCATAGCAGGGGAACACCATGCACGCTCGCATCGAGATGAGCTCCGCACGGGCTGGGCCCTGTTGCCTCCTCCTCCTCCTGAGACACCCGTCCATCGGACATACCCATGGCTGCCCCTGCCTTTCACTGAGACCTCAATTCAAAGGCCAAGACCCTTGCAAGGTGGTCACCAGTCATGCTCCACCTCACCAGCCAGGATCACTGCTTTGCAGAATTCCCGCTGCCCTAAGACTGAGGCCTTGGGATGTTTTTGTGTCTGCTGGTCTAGACTGCAAAGTCCCACGAGGGCAGGCACGGGGTCTCGGTCATGCCGGCCGCTGGCCCCGAAATGCAGAGTAAGCGCATAACAAGCACGTGCAGAATTAACCAGGGAACGCGAGAGCAGCTGCTCTCCAGAGACGGATCCCCTGTCAGGATGCAGTGCAGTCTACAGGGAAGCTGCTTTGCTTTCCATGCTGCCAGCACGGCCGGACGCCCCATTCCCAGCTCTCGTTTCCACCTTTCTGAGCAGACCCTGCATGGGTGAGGTGGAGCCTGCAGCAGCTCCCATGACACACCTGCAGGAGGCTGCCCATGGCCAGCTCTGTGTGGGCCCCTGAGAGGAGGCCCCACCCCGACCACCACACCCACGGGAGATGAGCCTGTGCTACAGGGGCCGAGGGAAGGAAGCGTGTGAGATGCGCCAGGGCGGGAAGGGGCACCTGCTGTTTGGGGAGCCAGGAGGGGCTGGGGGTGGGGAAGACCAACAGGTGAGGTGGCTGGAAGGGCCCAGGGACAGCAGCAGCCCAGGCACCAGGGCAGGGGGCAGAGGCTGCTCAGTGGACAGAGACTAGGCCAGGTGGCCCCTCACGCCCTTTATCCTACGGGAGGGGAAGGCAAGAGGCAAGGCATAGGGTGGTGAGTGGGCATCCTTCAGTTCATCTGTGGAGTCAGTGTCTAACTTGGCATCAGGTGCAAAGAGATTATTCCATGAGCCAGCCCAGGACAAGCTGCATGCAGGGCCTCCCACCACCACTGCTGCCCTGGCTGGAACTGCCAAGGGCCCCCTCACCGAGGTACGGTGTGTTTCCTGGTGGGAATGACGGGAAATCAAGAGATCAGGGGAGCCCTCCACCTGCATGTCTACCTGCGGAGTCCAAGCAGTCGGCAACACTGGAGACCTCAAACTTCTGGTCAAGGATGCTGGGATAGGCGTCCAGAAAGTCCACCGACTTCAGCGGACTGCGGAAGCAAGCTCCATCTAGGACACACATTCCAGTGACTTTGGTGGAAGACGGGAACCCAAGCCACTGGGGACCCCAAGCCGGGGGCACCCCAAAGCATGGAGAATGTCCAGAGGACCCGACAGCCACGGACCCATGAGCCAGGGTCTGGGTCTCAAGGACTCTCCCCATCCCAACCTTTGCCCATGCCTTGGGGAGTCGGTCGGCACTATCTGATAACATTTCTTTCCTTCTGCACATCTAGGGTGCGTTCACAGAACAGCTGAATCAGTGGGGCCAGGAGAACCCACCCCCGCCAGGTTGTGTTCCAGGGCCCCCACCAGTGTGCAGCGGAGCCTCACCCTGGACCCGGTGTGCCAGGAGGCCCAGCAAATAGTTGCTTGTCTGCTGCAGCAGGACGTTGTTGTCACCTTCGTATGTGCAGTTGGGATCGTTGTCATCTCTAAGGACACCCAACCGGTTCACTGCAACAAAGCCACAATAGTACCATCATTTAAGATGCATATTTGTGAAACAGCCAGTCACTATGTGAGAATTTAAAAAGCCCTAAGAGGCTGGGCGCAGTGGCTCACATCTGTAATGGCAGCACTTTGGGGGGCCAAGGCGGGTGGATCACTTGAAGCCAGGTGTTCAAGACCAGCCTGGCCAACATGGTAAAACCCACCTGTACTAAAAATACAAAAATAGCCGGGTGTGGTGAGTGTGTGCCTGTAGTCCCAGCTAGTCAGGAGGCCGAGGCAGGAGAATCGCTTGAGCCTGGGAGGCGGAGGTTGCAGTGAGCTGAGATTGTGCAACTGCACTCCAGCATGGGCAACAGAGCAAGACTCTGTCTCAGAAAAAAAAAAAAAAGGAAGGAAGGAAGGAAGGAAGGAAGGAAGGAAGGAAAAAAAAGCCACGAGTTTGAGACAAGCCTGGGCAACATATCTCTACAAAAAAATGAAAAAAAAAATTAGCTGGGCATGGTGGCAAGCACCTGTAGTCCCAGCTACCCCGGAGGCTGAGGTGGGAGGATTGCCTAAGAGCCCAGGCATCTGAGGCTGAAGTGAGCCATGGTCATGCCACTGTACTCCAGCCTGGGGGACAGGGCAAGACTGTCCAAAAAAAAAAAGCCCTAAACCCAGCTTGACCAGACACAAAAAACTGTCACCCCTGCTTCAAGTCCCAACCCCAGCTCCTCCTCACTGCTGTTAGCAAGCCCTGCACGGTCATCCCGCAAAGCCTCCCCCGGCATGGGGTCACTGACAGGAGGGAACCATCTCAGCAAGCTGACGCCCCCAGGGCTGCCCTTCTTCCTTCTGTAACTGAACAAACTCTTCTTTTAACACAGGAAATATCAAGACAACTTTTCTTTTGTCTTTCTTATCAATTAGCTGGATGCCTTCACATAGGTTATAAGGCTTGCTTTCCAGACCCTCACGCACTGGAGCCTGCTTGCTCTGATGGAAAGTGTTCTCTGAACGTGAGGCTGGGATGGGCCCAGCAGGAAGGGAGTGGAGCTGACTTCTCACACTCACATACTATGACTGATGGGTCCTGAGAGCATGAACGGACTCCTACTGCAGCCACGCTGCCAGCAGGCTTGTGATTAGGCTTGTGACCACCTGGAACACCTGATCGTTTTCTCCTGACTTGCTGTCAAATCTTGCCACGTGCCTCCTGTCATGTAACAGGTTGGCCACTGAACAAGAGCCGGGAGAGGCCCCAGCCAAACATTTGCAATTGATTTTCTAAACCTAGATGGAGCTTCGGTTGTGTTGGTCTCAATCCCAGCATATGTATATGTATATGTATATGATGAATCTTGATTCCATTGTCTTTGTTGTCTGTAGTACTGCAAGATTCAATTTCGTTATTCATCTATTTATAGAATCCCGATGAGTTACAACGACAAATAAAAACTACTAAGGGCATTGCGCAGAGGACAAAGCATGCAAATGAGTAACTTATGTACAGCCATGGCTACCCACATGGCAGTAAGCGACAAAGGCAGAGTGTGGTGGGAGTGAGAGGCCACGTTGCTGCTGGCCCATGCTGGAACAGGTGCGAGTTAGAACTGCAGTGGTGGGCGGATATTGCTGAAAGCGTGTGTGTAGTTCTAGACAAAGCATCGCCAAAACTCTCACAAACTTGGCAAGGGCCTAAAGCGCTCCTGGAGGGCAAGAAAGTTTTGCGGATGCTGTGGCTGTTTTGAGTGTGTACATGGCCTTCTTTGAGCAACCAGCTTTTGCCAGTTAATTATTTAAGATTAGCACACAGGAAGTTTTGCAGATAAGCTGTAAATAATGCTGATGATAATTCTAATAATAACAGCATTAGCAAATAAAAAAGTCAGTGGGCACGCACTACAAGCCAGATACCAAGCTTACACTTCATACGTGTTAATTCACTTAATTCTGGCAAGAACCTATGTTGTGGGTACACTATTATCACCCCCCACTGTAAAAATAAGAAAACTGAGCACAGTGAGGTTAAGCAACCTGCCCACAGTTACCAGGCTGTTAAGACGGAGCCAGGACTCAATCCCAGGCAAGCTGGTGGCCCCTGTTCTTAACCACACAACAGCTGCCTCGGTTATCGTCAATGCTGATATAACTGACTCTTTTTCTAAGTGTAAGAATTTTCTATCCAAATAAAACATGGTGCTAGTTTACTACCAAGCTGTTAACCAAACAGTTAAAATTCAAATGAGCAGATCAGCTGCTCTCTGCCTGTATTTTGGCCAAAGCATCAGGCATCTGAAAGCAGTGGGATCTATCTAGGGCAGGGGTTGGCAAACTTGTTCTGCAATGGACCAGAGAGTAAATATTTTCAGCTCTGCAAGCCACATGGTCTCTGTCACAGCTGGGATTACTCAACTCTGCCCTTGCAGTGTGAAAACAGCTGCAGGAAATGTGCAAATGAACGGGGGTGGCTGGCTGTGTTCCAATAAAACTTTATTTGCAAAAACAGGTGGCAGGCTGGATTTGGTCTTCAGGCCACAGTCTGCCGACCCCTGGTCTAGAGTCAAACAGCAGGGTTAAGGACAGGAAACCACCATGCGCTTCTCCAAAACCTACTGGCTAGATAGCCGTGTCCTCCACACGCCTCCCGGCATTCCTGAATTCCTTGCTGGGCGGTCCACGAGGCCAGGGGCTTGCCGGCTGATGCCAGAGCGTGGATCTCACGTCCAAGCTCTGCCTTTGGGTGAGGGAATCCAACAAGAACAGGTGATAAGAGACTTTTGACACCAAAAAGTCAGATGTCAGCAATAACATCAAACCACCATATCACCTCCAGTCTAATACAAGACATCCTGAAAATGACAGAAGAGGAAACCTAATTGTAATTAGAAATAAAAAAGGGTCTTTATCCAAGTATGGGTACACTGTGGTATGCTCATACCATTTCACAACAATGAAAACACCGCTCCACACAGCAAATAGCTTTCAGGGCCCTGACATGGCTCCCAGAAGCAAACTGCAGAAGAATGTCATGGCCCAGTTTATATAAAGTTCACAAATGTCAGAGTGAATGACACGCCATGGAAGGTTGCAATTGTTTGCAGTGAAACCATGAAGAAAGGCCAGAGAATCAGACCCAGCACCGCAGACAGTGCTCCCTCCCAGGACAGGGAAGGGCCGGGACCAGTCCATTCCAGAAGGGCTGCAAGTGCCTTGGTAACTGACGGTCTGCTCTGCGTGGGTGCTCACTGTGCCTCCCTCGGGCCTAACATGTTTCATTGAGACTCCTTTGCTGTCCATGGCCACACTACCCTGAATGAGCCTGATCTTGGAAGCTAAGCAGGGTTGGACCTGGTTAGTACTTGGATGGGAGACTGCCTGGGACCAGCAGGTAATGCAGGCTTTTCTTTTAAGGGAAAAAAGAAGAAGAAGAAGAAGAAGAAGAAGACTCCTTTGCTTCTGCTTGATATCTAATGATGAAAACTTAAGAGACTGGGCCAGGCACAGTGGCTCACGCCTGTAATCCCAGCACTTTGGGAGGCCGAGGTAGGCAGATCACTTGAGCCCAGGAGTTTGAGAACAGCCTGGGCAACACTGGCGACACCCTGTTTCTACTGAAAAATACAAAAAATTAGCCAGGTGTGCTGGCGGGCACCTGTAGTCCCAGCTACTCTGGAAGGCTGAGGCAAGAGAATCGCTCGAACCCAGGAGGCGGAAATTGCAGTGAGCCAAGATCGCACCACTGCACTCCAGCCTGGGCAACAGAGCGAGACTCCATCTCAAAAACAAACAAAAAAACAAACAAAAAACTTTAGAGACTGATTCAAGCTAAAAGAAGAATTTTTACTTTTAAAAAAGAAATAAATTAAAAAAGAAAAACAAGAGGAAGACACACACAAACACACACACACACACACACACACACAAACGTTAAGTCCAATGACCCATTTTATGAGTGTTTTCAACTTCACATAAGGGGCTGAGTCGAGGCCCTCCTCTGCCTGGGTTAAAACGCTGAGTTTCAGAAACAATGAGCCCGGTCACCCTTTACAACATTATTCACAGAAGAGTGTCAGAGCTGGCGAAAGCTCCACTGACTCACGCTCCCAGGAAAACATAGGCTTAACCCCTTCAGTGGTCAGTAGCGCTCCCTCCTCAGGCCTCCCGAGCCTGGGATTTGCTCTGCCACCAATCCTGCAGGTCATCCCTTCGCCATCACCTGCCGTGAATGCGGACACCAGTAATATTTCAAGATATGCTAATTAGATGCAGGCTTTTTCTGATGTTGTACGTAACTGCAATCTGCAGTATTTCTCCTCTGCTTCCAAACATGGTTATTTCTTTCGATTCACATTTCACTCTTGCTCAGGAGGCAGCAGGAGGGACAACGGAAAATCAGTTCACAACCATCTACAAAGAAATCCGTTCTCGACGTCTCTTTATGCCGAGGCTGATCTCGGGATTTGCACGCTTGTTTCTGGCACAAATCCTCTGACTGTCAACTCAAATCCAGTCAGTGGGATTCAGACCTTTGTGCAGCTGTTTACAAAAGGCTCAGAACCATGAAAGCCACTGAGGGGCGGGTAATGTGGATTTTGCAAAACCGTCAGGTTCTCAAAAGAAGACCAACAGCTGAACTCACAGACTGGAACCAAGAGTCGTGTCAGCACATCCTTGAGAGGCAGGAGGGTGGACGCGTGCCCAGCCCGTTCAATTGCAGCAGAGGCCAAGAGCTCCGAGTGGGTGGGAACAACTGGAGGAATGCGTCCTAGGCTCTGTCCTTGCAAATCAAACGACTGATTTTGCTTTGAAATGAAGGCCGAATCTGTGCTGCTCCAACCGTGTGAGATTCAAACGACGCTGCTGCGGAAGCAGACACCACCTCACCTGTCTGGCGCTGCGGTCTCCCGAGGCACGTCCTCGCTGGAGCTCCACCAGGTCCAGGAAGAGCGACTTGGAGAAGTGGTCTAAGGCGTAGGCAGCTGCCAGATACGGAAGCAAGCGGCATTGCTAGAACAGACAAGACACCTGTGTGAACACACCACAGTTCCCAGGAAGGGCAGCCCATCCTAGGGACCGTGAAAGCCAGTGCAGGGAGAGGCCGTCAGGGCCGTGCACCCACTAGAGCTGAAGGTCTCCACGTGTCTTCCCGGCACATCAGAAAACCTTCATCCTGACACGCTTTCAACTCAGCCAGTTCGGCTTTCACCCATGGCCCCTGACGGATAACCCCAAACGCAATTCCCTAAACGGCCACTATTCACAGCTGTCCCATCAAAGTCACTACAGAACAAAGTGCCAGTCCATCTGTGAACTCAGAAGGCCGCGCTACTAGGGGCCAACTCCCCGGCACACGGACTGACTGGCTGACAGCACGTGCCTCATGAGCCTGTGAGGACGAGGCTGTCACCCTGGGACAGATGGGAAAGCTGAGGCCCACACAGAGCTGGCAGCCCCTCGAAAGGCAGAGTGCACGTCTTTTTCACTTTGTCTGAAACAGCATAGGGTCCACCTATTGTTGGATGGGTGGGTGGCTGGGTGGATGGATGGATGCATGTATGGTGGGTGGTGGGTAGGTAGATGCATGGGTGGGTGGATGGATGAACCCGTGGATGGGTAGATGGATGGGTGGGTGGATGTGTGGACAGGTGGGTAGATGCATCGATAGGTGGGTGGATGCATCGATAGGTGGGTGGATGCATGGATGGGTGGGTGGGTGGGTGGCTGGGTACATGGCAGGACAAGCCTGAGAGGATCCTGAGGAAACCACCATCACCACCATGGTCTAACGTGTCAAGAGTGCTGAGCTGCCATGGCACCAGCTGCCTCTATGCCCTAACTTTTTTAATCCTCACACTGATCCTAGGAAGAAGTTTTATCATCAGTTCTAATTTACAAATGATAAAATGAGAGCACAGAAAGGCTAAAGACCTTGCCTGAGGGCACAAAGCCAGTTAGGGGTGGGCCTTGGTGGTGAGGTCAAGCATGGTGGCCCCAGTGAGCTCTCTTGACTGCTGAGCTGCCCTTGGCACCCAGAGTGCTGTGACCACACACGGGAGGGGATGGGTGCCACACAGGCATGAACAAGAACACTTACTAAACAGGCTCATAGCTCTGGTCAAAGGATGTGGAAAAAACAACTGCAATTCTGTTACAATTTCCTCGAAGTTTCACCCAAATCTACCTTTGTTCATGCACAGCTTGGTCCGGGACCTGGGCCTGAGTTAGCCTATGCACTTTAACTGGATTTCCTATTTGATCCTCAGTTCCCCCAACAGTAAAATGGGAGTAATCCCAACCCTCTTAGCTGTGAAGACCAAACCCAGAGCACAGGGCTCATGCCCTGCAAGCACCACAGGAACGTTCACTGCGAAAATTCATCCCCCTTCCGTGAAACAACATCTGTGCTTTTCCACGCTGCTGACTGGGCTGCATGTGTGCACGTCCACAGCTGCCCCGTCTCTGAGGACGTGTAGGGCCCACGCTCTGTGCCCACGCCACTGTTCTAAATGCCATCGCAGTGAACAGGGCTGTACGCTCAGCTGCTGCTTCTTCCAGATCACCTGCCAGGCATCATTTCTTAGGGATGGGATGAAAATGTCAAAGAGCATGTACAGGGCATGCAAGGCCACTGCCTGCCAAGCTGTGGCAGCCTCACCTGAACGTGCGGCTGTGCACACATCCACCTCCCAGAGCCGCCCCATACTTGCTTCCTTCTGGCCGGGTGCGGTGACTCACACCCGGAATCCCAGCACTTTGGGAGGCCGAAGCAGGTGCATCACCTGAGGTCAGGAGTTTGAGACCAGCCTGGCCAAAATGGCGGAACCCTGTCTCTACTAAAAATACAAAAATTAGCCGGGCATGGTGGCAGACAACTGTAAACCCAGCTACTCGGGAGGCTGAGACACGAGAATCACTTGAACCTGGGAGGCGGAGGTTGCAGTGAGCCAAGATCATGCCCACTGCACTCCAGCCTTGGTGACAGAGCAAGATTCCATCTGAAAAAAAAAAAAAAGACTTGCTTCTTTCCATCGTCCTTATTTTGGCTACTTCACATATACTCTTTTTAAATTAAAAACCATTTACTGGAAGCCTTGTGGCCTGAGGTGCTGCACTCCTGCTAACTAATCATCCTGTTAATTGCCTTAACAGCTTTCATCAACTCCCAGTAACCAAACTGCAACTATGTAAAAGAAGTGAATTTGCACATAAAATAGAAAGACAAGGAAAGGATGCTTGAAAACCCTGTACCTGCATTGGATACTCAAGCACAGCTATTTCCTCCTCCTGGGTGGGTCCAAACTGACACCGAGTGGCTGAGAAGCGAAGAGCGATGGCTATGGCCAGCTTTAGGTTAACGACGGCCAGGCTCAGGATGGAGACCCGGCCCGAGGACAGGCCCCCCAGGGACACTCCGAAGCGCTGCCTGACGTCCTGCGGAAGGAGTGCAGATGATGAGCGCAAGCCCGGCCACGCGGCCACCTTGGACAGAGCGGCCTAGAGGCGAAGGTGCCCTCGTTTGCTCATTCAGAGTAGACCGGTGCCCACCTGCCCATGCCTCATCCCCAGGGTGCCCCAGGCACAGGACGGTGCGGCAGCGGGTACAGGTGTCACTGATGAACCGTGGATGGAATGGGGGCACTGGGGAGGGGACACCCAGCTGCCTGGAGAAGGGACAGTCCTCGTAGAGGGAACGGTATGACAGCACTGGGTAACAGTGCTCCCACTTTGGGGACTTGCAAACCATCTGCCTGGAGATTCCAAGGCCCACCTTTAACCTTGGCAAGAATCAGATGTGGCCTGTACTGCCAGAGGGCAGGGGCGGAGTCCATTAAAGGCAGCCATGCCAGGGGTTTTCACGGACACCCCTCCTTCCCTGTGTGCCTGTGAACAGGCAGTTCCTTTACATGCGTCTAGCTGGAATCTTCCATCCACTACCTCCTCACACGCATCACCGGCATCAGCAGCGGCTGTTGCTAAGGCCTGTCCAGGCTGTTGTGGGCACATCCAATCTACAGCCCTTGCCATGTGATCTGACCGTCCTTCCTGCCCTGCCCCTTGCTGCCCCATCAGGCCCGCTCCTCTGACCATCTAGGTCCTTCTTCCAAGGCAGCATGGTAATTGTGTGTCTGAGTGTATTGATCACACTCTAACACAGGAATCACAGTCTCATTGTGCTTAAAAACATATTTAAGCCGGGCGCAGTGGCTCATGCCTGTAATCCCAACACTTTGGGAGGCTGAGGTGGGCGGATCACCTGAGGTCAGGAGTTCAAGACCAGCCTGGCCAACATGGTGAAACCCCGTCTCTACTGAAAATACATAAATTAGCCAGGCATGGAGGCGGCTGCCTATAGTCCCAGCTACTCGGGAGGCTGACGCAGGAGAATCACTTGAACCTGGGAGGCAGAGGAGAGGCTGCAGTGAGCTGAGATTGTGCTGCTGCACTCCAGCCTGTGTGACAGAGCAAGACTCCATCTCAAGAAATATATATACATATATATTTAAAGTGATTTCCCTTTAAGGGTATAAAATATGATTTCACTGTCTTCATGCATTCACTGTCATGTTTGAGAAATCTGAAGTTCAAGTGTTTTTTATTCCACTGGAGTCAGATCTGGAAGATTCTAGAATTTTCTCTTAGGAATTCCTCAATTTCTCTACCGTGTGCCTGGGTACGTGCATAGGTACTTTCTTACTTTTCCTCTTTGGTCCTCCATGAGTCCCTTCAACCAAAGGCCTTCTTCTCCTCTCTCATTTAGAGACATTTCTCTCCTTTATTTCCCTATACTTCATTTCTTTCTTTCTTTTTTGAGATAGGGTCTCGCTCTGTTGCCCAGGCTGGGGTGCAGTGGTGCAATCATGGCTCACTGCTGCCTGACTTCCTGGGCTCAAGTTATCCTACCACCTCAGCCTCTCAAGTAGCAGACTACAGGCATGTGCTACCACACCCAGCTAATTTTTGCATTTTTAATAGAGATGGGGTTTTGCCACATTGCCCAGGCTGGTCTGGAACTCCTGGGCTCAAGCGATCTGCCCACCTTGGCCTTCCAAAGTCCTAGGGTTACGGGCATGAGCCACTGCACCCAGCCTTCATTTTCTTTAATCCTCTCCTTCTGCCTTCTAGAGGACAAGTTTCCAATCCCTAATTCATCCTCCTGAGATAGTCATCCCATCTGCTGTGCTTGTTCTTCCAATCACTTTATTTTTAATTGATGTTGGATCTCCGTTTGTGAGCGGCTCCTGGTCTCGTGTTGCTGTTCCCATTCTGGGCACCCTGTGTGTCTCTGGGCATCCCCATCACGCTCCTTCTCCATCCGTGCTTCCTGCATATCAGATGCTGCATGCTGCTGGGAACTGGTATTCCAAGGGTGTGTGCTCGGGGGGGCCCACCTGCTGTGAGCTCATGATTCCTGAGGGTCATCAGCTACAACCTGGGCCATCGCCCCCCCAGACCATGATCTCTCTTCTGCTCTCCATGAACTTAAACCAGGCGTGAGTTCTGGACACCAGGGGACTCTGTTTGTCGTCTCCCTTTGTGGACAGTTCGCCAGGAGACCCGTTTCCTTTGAATCTTCAGGAAAGCATCACTGGAAGTGGGCAGTCCTCTAACTGCAGCCCTCGAAGGGGAGTGGGCATTGTCAGACCCAGACTCACCCCCTGTACACCAGCACCTGGTGCTGTGGCTGTCCCGAGTCCCCTTCTAGTGGGAGCACCAGAACCCAAACCAGGAGAAGTATGCCCCAGAGACGCCTGGCCCATGTGGAGGGGTCTCCTTTCCAGGCGCAGGGAGGAACACAGAGCCAGGCCCTGCAGAGGAAGGCATTGGGAAGCGCGGCACACAAACGGACCCCATGCCTGTACCTTAAAGGGGCTGACGTAGGTGCCCTCGGGGGTGACGTCTCCCATCCGGTTCAGGAGGCTCTGGCGAGGAACTCTGACCTTGTGGAACATGGCGAAACTGTGTGGGGAAGCAGCAGGGCTTCTGTTAAAAGGGGGTCCTGCCCTGAGGCTCTTCTCTTCTCCCCCAAGGGCAGCCGAAAAGGTGATGCAATCCCCGAAGACAAAGAAAATGGCAGAGGGCACGCCAGTAGACAGGAACATTCAACCAACTTTCTATTCAAAAAAGTAGTCTAGGCAGGAACAGTGGCTCACGCCCAGAATCCCAACTCTTTGGAAGACCGAGACAGGAGGATTGCTTGAGCCTAGGAGTTTGAGACCAGCCTGGGCAACACAGTGAGACCCTGTTTCTAAAAAAAAAAAAAAAAAAAAAAAAGGCCCAGTGTGGTGGCTGTAATCCCAGCACTTTGGGAGGCCGAGGCAGGAGGATAACCTCAGGTCAGGAGTTTGAAACCAGCCTGACCAATATGATGAAACCCCGTCTCTACTAAAAAAATTAGCCGGGAGTGGTGGCTTGCGCCTGTAGTCCCAGCTACTTAGGAGGCTGAGACAGGAGAATTGTTTGAACCCGGGTGGCGGAGGTTGCAGTAAGCCAAGATCTCGCCACTGCACTCCAGCCTTGGTGACAGAGCAAGACTCCATCTCAAAAATAATAGTAATAATAATAATAATAATAATAAAAGCATTGTGTATATGGTAAGTTGTACTCCAGGTACAGAACTCCAGATATTCAACAGAAAAGACAGGAACTGTGTTTCTAAAGATTGGAATCTCTGATTCTCATACTTCAATCTCAAACCAGAATCCACAATGTGATAATATTGGCAAACTGGGGTTTAAAACTCTGAAGTCAAACAAAATAAGTGGTGTGATGGCATCGGTGCTCCCTCGGCAAGCAAATTCACTTCTTTTGAACAGATGAGCATAGGATTACACACAGATTGTTATGGCTCATGATGTATTAATAACCAAAGATATTTGTTATGGTCATCTGGTCAGGAAAACCTATTTCACAGCAGTCTAGGGAATAAGGCTATGCTAGGTTATGAATATTACATAAACTGTGCAAAAACCCCCCAAAACAAACTTCAAAATATCAATAGTTCCTATAGCAACTTATCTGATTCCTAAGATCACATGCAACGCCTTAGGGCAGCAGTCCTCAACCTTTTTGGCACCAGGGACTGGCTTTATGGAAGACAATTTTTCCATGAGTGAGGGGGAGGTGGGGGTGGTTTCGGGATGATTCAAGCACATTATATTTATTGTGCACTTTATTTCTATTACTATCACATTGTAACACATAATGAAATAATTATACGATTTGCCATAATGCAGAATCAGTGGGAGCCTAAGCTTGTTTTTCTGCAACTAGATGGTCCCATCTGGGAATGATGGGAGACAGTGACAGATCATCAGGCATTAGATTCTCATAAAGAGCAGCACTCGCCCTAGATTCCTCACATGCGCAGTCCACAGTAGGATTCACGCTCCTATAAGAATCTAATGCCGCCACCGCTCTGACAGGAGGAGCAGCTCAGGTGCTCGTGCGAGCAATGGGGAGTGGCTCTAAACACAGAGGAAGCTTCGCTGGCTCACTGGATGCTCACCTCCTGCTGGGTGACCTAGTTCCTACCAGGCCACAGACCAGTACTGCGGGCTTGGGGACCCCTGTCTTACACAACAGTCTTTTACTAACCCACGGAAAACACCGTGTACAAAGAACAATCGCACATGCTGGGAGGGAAACGGAGGCACCCCCGTTTCCTGCATGGGCTCTTCCTTTAGTCCTGCTCTGGATGCCCCCATACCCCCGTCGCCACCTGGTCCCAGGCTGTCAGCTCTGCCGGCCTGGCCCGATTCGCTTCCTCCCCTCCATCCCCACCTAGGACCCAGCACCTCCATCTCTACTCAGCTCCCCTGAGCGGATTTCCTGCAACAACCATATTGGCTCTTCCCTAACTCCACCTCTTCAGCCCGTCCTCCCTGTGGGAGCACGGCCCTTTCCTAAAGGCCTTCGGAATGGCAGTGGCCGATGTGGAGAGTCCGCCCAAAGCCGACCTCCGTCTGCCCCTCTAACAGCAACGACGCCTTGCCGTGAGGTGGTCCCGCCTGCCTGTGGTGCCCCATCCACCAGGCTCTCTTCTGGCCTCGTGCCCTCCCTACAGTCACTGTTGACACCAGGCAGCCCTCGGCCCACCTGGGAATTCTGTGCCCCACCCTGGGAAGGGTATCAGGCGGACCCCAGGGTGGGGTCCCTCGACCGTCACCCTTCCTGGTTCCTGGGTGAGCTAGCTGCCTCTCAGCAGTCTCCCGGGGCTCACCCCCTTCTATGAGGGGGCCACCGTGCATGGGGCCTCCCAGACTTAAGGGACAGGCACATAAGTGGCACAGTATGAACAAGCCAGGTGGGGTCAGATGACATCCTCTGAGGCATAAGGGCCAGGCCAGGATCCCGACTCCTGGGACAGCCTGAGGGAGAGACACAGTAGTTTCCATGTTCCCAGAAGGAGCCAGGCCCTGGGGCCGGGTGGGGATGGGGCTGGAGCTCCTTAGGGAAACCTGGGCGACCTGGTGAGGGAAGGGCTCTCAGCTGCTTTGCCGGGCACCTGCCCACCTGCAGGAAGCGAAGGGCAGTGGGGGGGGGCCAGCTCCTCCAAAGCCCTAGGCCCGACTGCCCAGCTGGGTGGCAGCTTCCCCCATGCCACAGCCGCACACTCAGAACACCCCACCGCGTGCGAAAAACCTTGCCTCGGTGCCAACAGCCCCAGCGTGCTCCAGCCTGTTACTTGAAAGCCACGGAATGCCTTTTCCAGTATGAGCTGGTCACAGTCAGCGCGCTTTTCAAGCAGTGGAAATTCTTCGCCCATTCTCACCACACGGAATATATGTATACTTGCAAAAGCATTCCCGTGAGTTTCAAGGAAAGCAAACTTCCACGAAGTCTCATGGGATCCCTTCTGTTCCACAGAAGCTCTTCCAGTGGCGGTCAGATGTGGTCAACTCAAACGCAAGCCAGATCCCCGGCGGGCGATGTGTGCGTATGTCACAGGTGTGTGTGCGCACAGCACAGGAGGGGTGTGTGTGTGTCACCGGACATGCATATGGCACAAGAGGCCTGAGTGTGGCACAGAAACCCTCACCCCAACCCCCAGGAGCGCCCAGGCCTCAGCACTCACCCCGCACCCTGGGCCTCCCGCTTCGTATCACAGCAGCTTCCTTCCTCCCTTGGGGCCCCCCAGCCCAGCCCAGTCTGCCAGAGCAGACTGTTGAGTTTGGCGGGCCTCCTCCCAGCCACCGCCTCAGTTCAGGGCAAACGCAAGGAGAAAGACCCTTAAGTGCAGCCCACCTTAAGAGTCTGGCTGAAACTATCACTTGAAAACATCTTTATGGTTTTGCTTTTTTAGAGCTATTTGGCTAAAATTAATCCACACAATTTACATTTACCTCGGATTTGTAGGCAGTCATCCCACATACCCAGGAGTTCTTGTAAAGTGATAAAATCTAACCTATAAATTGTAACCACTTTTTTCAAGATAAATGATTTCAACATTGGTAACAAAAATCACTAAATGATAACGCTGATCTTGGAAAAGATGGACATCCAGGCAGAATTCAGCGGGGAAACCTGGAGGGAACACCGGTATCACTGCGCCCCCTGCTGGGCGCACTGCCCAGACCCGCCAGCCCTGGACGGGAAGGTGCATTTCTGGAAAGGGGCAGAGAGCAGGTCTCCGGCATCACCCCTGCTGGCTCCCATCCCAGCCCGACCTCGGCCTTCAAAGGCTCAGGGATCAAAGACGGGCGCATCCCACTGCATCCCTGTCACCCTGCAGAAAGCCACGGTGGAAAGGCTCTGGAGGCATGGGGACCTGGCTTGGTGGAGCAGCTCCCAAGCAGTATCAAAGGGTTGTCGTCATTGTGTCCACGGTGATCCTATAGCAGACCGTATTTCTGAGTCTTACAAGAGCCTTTACCGTATCAGTGTGATGTATTAATCATTAATGGTTTGATCTAATGCTCCTTTGACTATTATCCCAGTAAGAGGTGTGGATTCAATCTCTAGAAATACATTTATTAGGGGGAACCAAGTGCAGGGTTTCTCTGCAATGTCCCAAAATAATGTCAAAGCCTCTCATTCATGAAACTGAAAGAGCAGTGAAGAGCCTTGCTCACACCTCAGGCCACCCACTGGATGTGACAATTCACCACCGCCATACGCCCAGGAGGAGACGCCTGCCGGGCCTCACGTGTACACATAGGACACTTCAGTAGATGGGGTAACGGTGCCTGTGGCTGCAGAGACCTGAACGGGATCAGCCAGGTCTAATGAAAGGATGCAGGTTCTCCAGAACAACACAGTGCCTCCCACACCCCATTTCCTGCACGGCGCTTCAGAGCTTCTCACCCCGAGGCCAGAGCCATCCTTCTCAAACAGACCAAACCGCATCACGTTCTCCAGATGGCTGGTGGCTTCCCGCTGCCCTGAGGGCGAAGGGCCTGAATAGCGACCCTCCATACCCGCCACACGGGCACTGTCCCTGCCAAGCGCCTCCCAGGCACCCTGAGAAAGTAGTCATGCAAGAGAATTGGCAGCCGCAGGTCAGGGGTAACGCTCTCCTCCCTGCCCACTCCAGCATTAACGAGTAGGTTCCTTGTGTTAATGTTGGTATAGGCCAGTGAGAACCCAGAATTCTGCAGGACAGGTGGAGTTAGGAGGGCTGTGCAAATGTGTCTTGTTTCGCTTTTTTTTTTTTGCCTGAAATCACAAGAATTTGCTTTTTAACAATGTCCTTTTACTTTCTTTTCAAGTTGACACTGTATACAAATCAATCAAGATATTCCTCTTTAGTACAGTCTGGCGTCCTGCCGGTTTTAAAGGACTAGCAGAGATCTAAGACACTCCCTGCCTCTCACCCTGACTTCTTAGAAGAGACAGGCAGAAGGCGGTTTCTCCACGGCTGGGCAGATGCCCACTGGCCCATCTTCTCCCTCTGGAGACATCCTGGTCACAACAACCAGTTATTTCCAGCAGCTCCTGCAAGGCAGCCTCCTCTCCCCTCCACCAGCCTTGCTATGAAGCCGCATATCTAGAAACACTCTTGAGACATCTTGCAGGCCATCAGGCTCAGGCATGGTCACACCTTGTCCCACTCCCCCCAAGTTATAAATCATCTCGTGGGCACAGAGGGGTCTGCACCCTGCTGGGTCAGGCTCTCAGGGAGATGGCATGTGGAGTCCAGCATTCCCAGTGAGGGAGGCACCAACCGGGCCAGTGGCCAGGAAGTTCAAGCCCGGCCTGCTCAGGCAGGACCTGGCAGGGCCCTGGCACGGGGACCTCTGTTGTCACCTACTTTACGGATGAGGAAACACCAAGAAAGCTGGTCAAGGTGACACAAAGGGCTGGCTGCACACCTATCTCAATCCAAAGGTCATGCTGCTAACGACCCGGAGCCCCAAAATCCAATCCCTCAAAGACCCTCAAGGCCCTTGAGGCCTGGCCTCCCTACCCTGCCCCCATCCCAGCACCCGCCTGGGCCTGACATTTCCCACTGCTCCCTCCACCTGAAACGCTGCACATTCCAAAATCACTGGCCGCTTCTCCCCGGCCACCCAAGGCTCCATGTGGCCACCAAGCATTCATTAGTCTTTCCAGGCCCCTCCCCAAGCCAGGGTGTGCACGTCCATCCAACCCTTCAGCCAGGCCTTGGCCACACCAACCCGGTGTCACATCTGTGCTGCTAAATGGATATCTGTGGGCTGATGAAACAAATAAACCAGCGGAATTCTCTTTCTAACCACTGTGACACTGAGATTACCCGGAAAGGAGCAAGCCCACTCCGGAGGCAGAAACTGCAGATATGGGTCCCTCGAGATCAGCATGGATGTGTGTGGAGGCCGAGCCGGGGGAGGCTCAGGATGCCGGCGAGGACCTCACACAGAGGCGGCGGCCCCCCAGGCAGGGGCCCCACCAGCTGTGCGCAGACGCCTGCATCTGATCTGAGAGAGGGGAGCCGCCTGCCAAGGTGAAGCTGGTTTGCTGAGGTCTCTGATCAAGTTGGCCTCCCAAAGTGGAGTTCAAGCAAGACATGGCTAGTGCACGCACAGGGGCTAGGCGTAGGTCCCCACAGCGTTTCAGTCTAAGAGGGCAGGGCACGGCACTCATGGGGCCAGTGAGATCTCAGACATGAGCGACACGCAGCCTGGGCCTCGGCAGGAAGCTCAGGGCTCAACAGCCTCCATCACTCACCCGTTATCCAGACCGTTCTGCCCGAGTTTCTTCCCCATGTCGCCGACCATCACTCCGGGCATGGGCAGAAGGGTCTTCGGGTCCCGGATCTATACAAAGCCACAGAAAGCAGCAAACAGCAACTGTTACAATCACACAAAAATCAAAACAAATGTGTTCAGAAACCCACAGGGTGGGCCACGGGCTCAACGCTGGGCGGCTGTGGGTTAAACCATCCTCCAGAAGTGATACATCCGAGTCCTCACCCAGGACCTGGGAATGGGAGCTTATTTGGAAATAGAGTCCTGCATATATAACGAATTTAAGAGCATCAAGATGAGGTCAACCCGAATCACCCAGGCGGGCCCTAAACCCCACCGCAAGTGTCCTGTGAGAGTCAGAAGAGGAGTGGGCGTGGGGAAGAGGGGGCCACGTGGAGACGGAGGCAGAGTGCAGCGCCGGGGCCACAGGCCTGGGGCCACCAGGAGCTGGAAGAGATAAGAAGGATCCTGCCCTGGAGCCTTTAGAGGGAATGCCGCCCTAAAGATTCCTCCATTTCAGACGGCTGCCCTCCAGAGTTGGGAGAGTACATTATGCTGTTCCGAGTGCCCTGGTTTGTGATGCTTTGCTGTGGCAGCAGCGAGAGACTAACACGGCGGCCGGTGCTGCTGGAAGGACGTCGGGAATTTCATTCTCATGTTTTAGACTCAGGACTTCCCGCTAGATCTTAATAAAGTGATAAAATGGCTGCGCAAATAGGTGCAGTGGGAGAAACGGCTATGATTATTCTGGTCAATCACCATGCCCCAAGATACAGGGCCAGCCAGCTGATGGCTGCACACTGTGGGAACCCAGGGGGAAAGGACGTGGAGCTTCATCCTTGGGCACTGTTACCGCGGGGATTCCCAACCATGGGACGCGCCACCTTCCCCTTCCCCACCAGGGGACACAGGTGGTGTCTGGAGAGATTCTAGTTGTCTTAACTGGAGGGAGCTATGACACAGAGTGGGCAGAAGCCAGAGGTACTCAGCCCAGCCCAGGGCATACAGGGCGCCCCAGTGAGCGCTACCCAGCCCAAACTGTCAACAGTGCCAAAGTGGAAAAGCTGCTTTAGAGAAACATGGAAGTGGTGCTGCTGGGAATGTAGCTATGTGCATGACCTGCTAGCTGGCTTCTGTTTATGTCTGTGAATTCACCATGTAACTTCACTGAACTCTAAAATAAAGAAACACTCCAAAAGGGCTAAACCCAAATGTAAACATCCTCTCCTTTTCTAAAAGTTTTCAGCAAGACCCAATAAAGATTCAGACACCGTCTCATACACACACACACACACACACACAAAAAGAAGAAAGAAACCTGCCAAAGATGCCCGCCCCTCCACTCATCAGCTCAGGTCTGGGACACGGAGCACAATCCTGTCCAAATAACCCCAAGACCACCGTTTCCATCCCTCCTTATCAGGCAGGAGGCCGTGGCTCTGGGAGGGGACTCAGGTGTCCTGAGCACTTGGTGCAGTGGCGCTCCGATGACGAAAGGAGCGCCACAATCCTGCGGAGTGTTTTTAGCACAACATGAATGAGTCTAAAACACTGCGGTTCTATGGCCCAAAAATCAGACACGCCGAAAGCTGCTGAATTCTAGCCCAGGCAACTCCCGCAAGAAGTCCACCCCAGGTAGAAATCTATAATCACAGAAACAAGGCAAACTGGCCTCAGGTAACTACAATGCTGTCATAAGACATATTTGGCCTTGTCCCTGCTTCCCAGCACACAACTCCTAAAACCCCTGACTCTCCGCAGTGGTGAGAGTCTTGTGCATGCTCATGAGACGGCTGCAGACCCCTAGGTAGCTTCAAGATGAAGACCAAGGTGCAATTAGGGGGTTGGTCAGAGGCACAGGCCACAACCTGGACTTGCCATCGGCATCCAAAGGGCTGGGGAGCTTCTTGTGGGACTGAGCCCTCACTGTGGGCGGTCTGAGGCTCACCCCAGGCGAACAGCATCAGTATGGAGTTAAATTAGAGGACGCCTAGCTGCTTTCTGCTGCAGAGCTGCGTGCTGGTGGGGAGAAACCCACACACATCTAATGTCAGAGCGTTGTGTTGGCTGCATGACAGTAGGAAAAACACTTCGGTTTTGTCCTGTATCCTTGAAATGAAAAAAATCTCTCTGGTCTGCAATAGCTCAAACGTCAGGTCAACTGAAAAATAACATGAGCAACAAAAGAAAAAAACAAACATAAAACTGGACTTCATCGAAATTGAAAAACTTTGTGCATCAAATCAACTGGATGGTCTCAGCCGGAAGCCTTGGCCAGGCCCTCTCAGCTGTGTCACTGGGGGATACTGGGCTGGTTGGTTCTTCCTAAGGCAAGGGCAGGGCTGTCTGCACCATGGGCGGAGCTGCAGGATACACTGTGGGTGGGGCTGCCTGTGCACCGTGGGAGGGGCTGTGGGATATACCATAGGCGGGGCTGTCTGCACTGTGGGCGGGGCTGTCTGCACTGTGGGCAGGGCCGTCTGTGCACTGTGGGCAGGGCTGTCTGCACCGTGGGTGGAGACGTCTGTGCACTGCGGGTGGGGCGGTAGGATACACTTTGGGCAGGCCTGTCTGTGCACCGTGGGCAGGGCTATCTGTACTGTGGGTGGGGCTGTCTGTGCACTGTGGACAGGACTGTCTGTGCACTGTGGGCAGGGCTGTCTCTGCACTGCAGGTGGGGCTGTAGGATACACTGTGGGCGGGGCTGTGGGATACACTGTGAGCCGGGCTGTCTGTGCACTGTGGGCAGGGCTATCTGCACTGTGGGCGGGGCTGCCTGCACTGTGGGCGGGGCTATGGGATGCATTGTGGGGTGCTCAACAGCGTCCCTGGTCCACTCACCAGATGTCAGAAGCATCCCCCACCTAGTTATGACAAAAATGACTCCAGACATTCCCAATGCCTCCTGGGGGTAAACACTGCCCCCACTGAGGGTCACCCCAGTGTCCTACCTGCACGATAAAGGGATGCAGCCCATGGCACTGGTCCCCTGGCACGTGCAGCTTAGCAAACACCACTGCGTGAGTGGCTGTCTTGCCCATGTTGCCAACCCAAAATTTGGCAGCTTCGAAATCAGGGGAATGTATGATGAATTCCTGCACAAGGGAAAAAGGTTGGTTATAATTAGCAAGTGAAGCACATGCAGAATTGGTGTTGAAAGGAGCTGGGCACATTCCTCAGCCCCGGGCTCAAAACTCCCTGAGCCCAGTACAGACACCACCTGGAAAGTCTCCGATAAGGGGACAGCTGTTCAAGGTTACTGAAAGCGCGGGAGCCAAAAGAATGTCTTTGTTCCCCTGCAACTTTCGGGCTATGAAAAGCAAACGCTCGCATTGTTCGGGGCCCTCTTGTATACTGTGGAATGGAGGGACCAAGTTCGAACTTGTAGTAAAGATCCTTGCCGTTTGGCTTTGACACTGGACTCTGGTAGTCTTCTTTGGGGAACAAACGGTCTGGGCACAACATCGTTTTCCTTTTAGACAGCTTCCATTTTCTACGTTCAAAATCTCTGAGGCAAGAGTCGAAACTGATCGCACATTTCAGCTCTTGTATGGCACGGGCAGGCCTCTTTTTTAAACAGAGCCTATTCCTGGGCCTTATGGCTTAAAGAACCTTCAGATGCAAAATACTCCACAGGCAGGCAAATGCTTCTGGGGAGTTTTCATTATCATGCACAGTCTTCGGTCCCTGACCACACCCCTGAGGTGGAAACCCTGCCCTGCAGTCCACTCAGTCCTTTAGGACATCTAATTCACAACACACCGCTGCCCTCTGGCTGTCTCTCCCATCCACAGCTCCATGATTGACAGTTACATCCCAAACGCCCCGAGCACAAGGCAGCCGCTCAGCACATCAGAAGGAAGGAAGGAATGAACGCATGCGTGAACTAGCAGAAGGGCTGTGGCATCGCAGTGTTCGGGGTTTGGCTAGAAGGGGTGTGGACGGACCCCCCAGGAACACTGAGGGTGCTGCATGGGTCGGGAGCGAAGAGCAGGTGGGAACAGGCAGGAGCTGGGCTGCTGGGGCTGGGCCTGCCCCAGGGGTGTCTGCTGGGAGCCCCGTGAGTAAGGCTGGGAGGGAGGATGTGGACCAGCAGCGCTGTGTAATGTGGCCGGGATCTGCAAGGGAACAAAGATGAGCGCCTTCAGGCAGACAGCCTACAGGTGGCCCACAGAGCCACCCTGCGCCGCCTTGGGAGACACCGATCCTCCACACGGGGCTTGCCAGTCACTGCCAGGGGCTGTCGGCGGTAAGTTTTGGTTCTGGTTCCAGCCCCTGCAGGGTGGGAGGTGCCCGGGAGGGCTTCCTCCTGTCCAGCCAGTGGGACTCTGTAAACCGAGAGTAGTGAACAATCATCCTACAGGTTCTGAAGTTTCACTGAGAAGTAGGAGATGGGCTGGCTGCCAGCCATGCCTTCTGTTCTCTTCTCTCAGGGGACCACCAGCTCTTTGCCTGCCAGAGTGAGGAGGGCTCCCAGTCTCAGTCAGGCTCTCCCCATTCACTCTTCAGCACGTGGCAGTTCTGATACCTCCACCTGTCACTCATTCTCCGCATATCCACAGGTACAGAGCTTCACTTCCTGCCACACAACGGTCCTCCCTGGCCACTGCCAACGGGAGAGGGTGGAAGGTGGGTGAGGAAACACTGGCAGGGAGACCTGGGCCTCAGGGACAAGCGGAGGCCAAGGAGAGTGACGTGGCGGCAGGGAGGCAGGGCCAGGGGAACAGAGCGGGGTGGGTGGGGACCCTCCCCAACCTCCATCCCAGGCTTGCGCCCCTCCACAACACTGACAGCCCCAGGGCATCCATCTGTAGCCCATCTCCCTCCACCCCTGCACCCCTCCTCAGCACTGATAGCCCCAGGGCATCCATCTGTGGCCCGTCTCCCTCCACCACACAGGAAGCTCCCAGGCAGCTGACTCGATGTAGGTACCAGAGAGGTCAAGAGGATGGCAAGGGCCCGAGGAATCAGACTGCGGTGGCAGAAATGGACAAGGCAGGCTGTTCGCAGAGGGACAGCCACAAAGGGCAGAGGGCAGGGAGCACGTTGTATCCACGGGGCCCACCGTAGAAACCACGGGCTATGTGAACAGTTTATGAATCCACTATGAATAGGCAGCCAGGTAAACAAGGTTATAAATGTTACAGAATGAGGGCTTCTTCACTGCACTCAAATTACACACAAATCCAAACCACGGTCAATTCCCCATAAAGCTCGTGGTGGGCACAGGCTTTGTCTTCCAACGCCTGGTCTCCCGAGCCCCACTTTTCAGTGTGATGAATCTCAGTGTGTATTTCTACATACATGTATGTGGACAGGCCTCTTGCTTTAATTTTTTTTCTTATTCCTGGCAACCACATTTGCACTCGTGACATCTCATACGCTCCAAACCCAGGGAGCCGGCGGAAGGTAACACCTACCTTAGTGGCAGGATCGTAGTGGGCAGTCGTACGAATGGCCTTGGTATTACTGCCGTGGCTTAACTCAGTCAGAGCAAAACATCCAAAAATCTAAAAGTCAAAGCACAAAACGATGGAAAGCAAGAAAAGTTCTTGGTGCACATGCCCAGAAGGCACGTGCTGCCATCTTTCCTTTAAAGATGAAACCACATATCAAAGCCCCAAATTTCCATCTACCCAACTAGTGACTTGACTGAGTCGTGCTGCCACGCTTGGCTGGCAACCACAGCAGCCTAAACCAAGCTGACCGCAGCTGCTCCAAGTCAGCAAGGTGGCAGGAACTGCTTGTCAGGAGAAGACAGTGGAAGGCCTCCGCGACAATTCACCTGGTGCTAGGAAGTCAATGTGCCTGTGTTTGCTAAAGAACAGTGCTAACTAATTGGTGAGAAGCCTGAGAACACTAGGGAACAAGAAGAGCATGAGCCCCCTAGGCACCCCCTTCTACAATTGTCCCTTTTCGCAAATCTCTACGGAGATCAAGCAAGAGAACTAGGCTCACAATTCCCCGGGAGCCAGAACTTACCTCCATACTGAAGATCTTCTGAATATAGGTGAGATGTCTTTCAGAACCAGAACTGTAAACTGCTGATCCAAAAACCTGAAAGTATAACATTGTCCTATCAACAAGGACAGGTAAGAAGAGTACGGCTCTTCCGGAACATCACAACAGATGATGGCACGCTAACACCACGCCCACCCTGGTTCCCCGCCACAATGCACTTTCCCTGACGTGGAGAACGAAGCAACGAGAGGTTAGCCAGCAGCCCGGATGCCCCAGGCCAGGGTCTCCCGACACACAGCGGCCCGGGTCCCTGAGTTCATGTGAGTGGTAAGACCTGTGTCCCTGTGCCGAGCAGCTTGTGTAAGGCACACAGAATCACTTGGGACTTAAGATGCCTGCAAGGAGTCCTGGGGGTCTGACGACAGCAGGGAGACAGAACAGGAGGGTGTGTGGAGCGCAGAGGCCACTGGCCCATCAAACATTGCAGGCAAGGCTACGGGCAAAGCCATTTTGCCCAAGCTCAGCTCTGCTGGTATGTTACAAAGGAAGGAAAACACAGGTTTCTTACTTTGGCCTACTTTTTTTTTTTTAATCATTTGTCTCTTTTTTTGTATGAGGCAAAAAAAAAAAAAAAAGTCCCACCAGCTCCTCTTCTGATGGGACTTGAAGCTTCACCACATTGTATTTTATTCAAGGACTTATGTATGTAAATTTGCAAATACATGATGGTGGATGGGCTTGAAAATAAAAGAATGAAAAGGGGGACTGAAATTTTTAAAAAAACATTAAAAAAGATAATTTAAAAAATTTGCAAATATAGCTGGAAACACTGGAGCTTCTCTGCCTCCCGGTTGGCCCTGGGACAGGCATCCCTCAAGGCTCAGCGCAGCAGGCGAAAGCCGCGTCCTTCTCCCCTAGGCCGCACGCTCACCAAGGTATGGAGGAGGTACTTGGCAGCCAGAGAAGAGTCATACATCCCCAGGCACTGAATCAAGGCGGGGACCTTCAGAGGGCTCTTGAACATGTCCTCGACACTGAGGAAGTCATACTCGAAGATCCGCTTGCATCGAAGGAAGTTCAGCTCACGATACTTGTCCAAGGACAGATCGGCTCCAGGGGAACGGGCGAAAAGAGGGTCGTTCTCGAGAGCTGAGAAGATGGTTTTCTGGAAATGCAGGAGACGGGGAAGGTTTATTTGGAGTAAAAGATGAACTCTCCATGTGCCCTTATATAGTTTACCTCCAGGTCACTGGCTTCATGGGACGCTGTCTGACTTAAGAGACACCCAGACAGAGATACGACTATCATTCCCAACAGACTAGAGGGCTGCAGGCTTAAGAAACATCAACAATCCATGTTCATTTCCAGACTCCTCATCAGTTCCCTGAGGCCTCTCCTGGGGTGCAGAAAGGAGAGCGGCTGCGCTGCCTGGGATGAGCCTCACCCGGCAGAGGGGGAGCTGTAAGAGCCAGAAATTCCACTGTGCTAATGAATTAAGACCCCACCGGGAAAAAAGACAAGCTGCACGCAACCGCACACCTCACCTTAAAGCGGAGCATGTCCTCCCCTTCCGTGAACAGCGCCAGCTCCTTCCAGCTGAAGGATGCTCTTGCCCGGTAGGCGTCCAGGGGTCCCCTGGGGAATTCTGGGAGCAGAGCTGCGTCACCTCCTTCTACAGTGGGTGCCATCGTCTGACGAGAGCCTGCACAAAACATGCAGCCTGAATCCATGCGCTCCCATCTGTGGGTTCAAATCACCCCCACCAACAGGAGAGCCAGCAACACCGTACAAGTTGGAGAAAAGCAAACTCAAAATCCAAAAGGACAGCAAAAGAGAGTCGCCCTGTGAATGGCTAGCATCATTTTCCCAAAAGAAAAGGCAAGAAGAATTCCCTCGTCCACTCCTGAAGACAGATGCCAAGGACACAGAAGAGAGCCAGGCACAGCCTGGGGATCACCAGGCACACAGTGCAGAGGGTTCGTCGGAGGCCTTGCTTTCTGTTGCACGGCCTTGCCTGAGAGCACCATGCCCTCTTGGGAGCACCTTGGACATCCAGACCCATCCCCAAGGCTCACTAAACCCAGGGTCAGGAAGCATTCCCTCTGGAATCCAGCCAGTGCCAGCTGGTTCACTCTGGCTACACACGATGGTACCTCACGTCCCCACCCACCGGCGCCGGTCCACCTGGACACAGGACCTCTGGCACAGGCTTCTGCACTGATTTTCCCTCGACATATAGACACCTGGCTTCCCGCTAACACAGCAGGCCTCCCAAACTCAGCTCTCTTGACCAAATAACCATTCTGGAATTTTCTGGATAGACTGGGTCCTTTTCCAAGTGGCTTGGCTGATGAAGGTATTGAAGGGAATGGCTAGTGAACCCAGGTCTGGCTGAGTCCTGGGCATGGGCCCCCCACCTTCACTCTTTAAGGCCTAGAGGAAAGAGGAACTTTTGAGTCCTTTGAGCTGAAACAGCCTGCGGTGCTGGAGCCTGAGTCTGGCTTGCTATTCTGTCCTATCCTTCCTTAGAATCGGAGGAAAGTACAGGGCACCGGCCGGCCGGTTAAAAACGATTAGCGTGGCCGCCGGACTTAAGACTCAGGTGTGAGGCTTTCTGGGAAAAGGCTTTCTAACAACCCCCAACCCTTCTGGGTTGAGCACTGGTCTGCTGGAACCAGCTTCCACTTCCACAATTTTCTTGGGGAAGCCATGGGCTGACTAGAGGCTGTCACCCCAAACTCCCAGCATTGGCAGGTCCAGATCATGGCGCAGCCAGAGTCTCTACTCAACAGTGGCCCACGCGCGCGCCCTCTCTCTCCTCTGACCCATACCTCCTGCATCCCAACCACGACTTTCTTGAAAGTGTAGCCCCCAAAATTCTCCTTACCTCTGAATCTACTTCCTCTGATCTCTCCTAGGTACTAATGCTTCAGACTTTCACTTCCTCTCCCAAGTATTAAAGCAAGTTGTATCTCCAAAGGGATCTAAGGAAGCTCTACGCTGTGTCCTTAGGCACCTAGGATATGAACCCAGACAGTCTTGTCCCTGGCGTCCCTCCCAATTTAGGTATACAGCTCTCGACATGGGCAGTTATGTGGGACCTACCACTGTTGCCAGGGCCCCAAGTTTGTAAATGGCTAGGAGGATTGCTCTCCCGTTGTGTAAGATGCTCTCCTCCCCCAGTTTCTACCCAGCTTACCTCCCCCACTGCAATACAATCTCTAAGCCTTAGCTCCTTGGCCAGGGCCTTAGAACTGATGACCCGGTACTTTAACAACTGGAACTAGGTCTACAACAACACAATAGATCAGGATGAAAGCGAATTGAGTAAATTAAAGGGAGGCACGGGGAGGGGGGAGGGATAGCATTAGGAGATATACCTAATGTAAATGACGAGTTAATGGGTGCAGCACACCAACATGGCACATGTATACCTATATAACAAACCTGCACGTTGTGCACACGTACCCTAGAACTTAAATTTAAAAACAAACAAAAAAAAAGGGAGGCACATGTTCCTATAGTGGCAAATGGGGCAACGAGCGAATGTACTTCCGCTGTGTTCCCAAAATCCATCTACCAAGAGAGAAAAAGAGAGGGAAAGAGAAATAGAGAGAGAGAAGAGAGAGAAAGAGACAGAGGGGGAAGAGAGGAGGGCAGAAAGTCAGAGAGAGAAAGAGAGAGACGAAAAGTAAAAGAGAGAAAGGAAAAGAGAGATATACAAGTAGTTAAGAAAAAACAGTGCACCCCATTCCTTTAAAAGCCAGGGTAAATTTAAAACCTATAATTGATAATTGAAGGTCTTCTCCGTGACCCTGTAACACTCCAATACCACCTTGTTGTCAGTTAAACAGTGTAATGCAGACATCAGGAAAAAAACTTCAAAACTCCATCTTAGGCCCAGAGTAAAACTTACAAACCCTATTGAACTTGGCAACCTCAGTTTTTTTTAAAATAGAGATCAGGAGGAGCAGGCAAACCCTATTGAACTTGGCAACCTTGGGGTTTTTTTTACAAGAGATCAGGAGGAGCAGGTGGAACGGGACAAATGGGCCCTCAGGCTAGCGGACGTTTGCCCCCATTTGCTACTATAGGAATATGCACCTCGCTTTAATTTACTCAACTGCTTTCATCCTGATCTATTGTGTTGTCATAGACATAGTTCCTGTTGTTAAAGTACTGGGTCATCAGTTGAGGCCCTGACCAAGGAACCAAGGCTTGGAGATTGTATCGCAGTGGGGGAGGTAAGCTGGGTAGAAATTAGGGGAGGAGACTTTGGAGGCTCTGGAAAGGGGAAAGGCTGGGCAAATTGAATGCCTAATAGGGCTTGCTTGCAGTGCGGTCTACAAGAACACTTTCAGAAAGACTGTCTGAATAGAAATAAGCCGCCCCCTCATCCATGCCCCTTATGTCAAGGAAATCACTGGAAGACCCATTGCCCCAGGGGACGAAGGTCCTCTCAGTCAGAAACCACTAACCAGATGATCCAGCAGCAGGACTGAGGGTACCCGGGGCAATCGCTAGCCCATGCCATCACCCTCACAGAGCGCCAGGTATGCTTGACCATTCAGGGCCATGCCACTGTACTACCAGCTCCCCTTACCAAGAGTTTCTGTGGAGAATGTGGCTTCCCAGAAATACTGATGCCCCATCATACAGGAGTTTTTCTAAAGGAAACCTCACTTTCACCGCCCACACCTATATGTCCCTGCACTTCAGGCCATACATTTCAATCCCTGTATCTTTAACCTCCTTGTTAAATTTGTCTCTTTCAGAAATCAAAGCTGTAAAACTACAAATGGTTCTTCAAATGGAGCCCCAAATGCAGTCCATGCCTAAGATCTACAACGGACCCACGGCCCGGCCTGCTAGCCCACGCTCCGATGTTGATGACATCAAAGGCACCCCTCCTGAGGATATCTCAACGGCACAACCCCTACTACGCCTCAATTCAACAGGAAGCAGTTAGAGTGGTCGTCACCCAACTTCCCTAACAGCACTTGGGTTTTCCTGTTGAGAGGGGCACTAAGAGACAAGACTAGCTGGATTTCCTAGGCCAACTAACAATTCCTAAGCCTAGCTGGGGAAGGTGACCACACTCACCTTTAAACATGGGGCTTGTAACTCAGCTCACACCCAATCAATCAGGTAGTAAAGAGAGCTCACTAAAATACCAGTGACGCTAACAACAGGAGGTAAAGAAATAATCTGATCATCTATCATCTGAGAGCACAGGGGGAGGGACAACGATCAGGATATAAACCCAGGCATTCAGGACGAATTAGGCAACCCCCTTTGGGTCCTCTCCCATTGTACAGGGAGCTCTGTTTTCACTCTTATTAAATCTTGCAACTGCACAGTCTTCTGGTCCGTGTTTGTTCCGGCTTGAACTGAGCTTTCGCTTGCCACCCACCACTGCTGATGGCGGCTGTTGCAGACCCGCCGCTGACTTCCACCCCTCGGGATCCAGCAGGGTGTCCGCTGCGCTCTGATCCAGCGAGGCACCCATTACCGCTCCCAGGCTAGAGGCTCGCCACTGTTCCTGCGTGGCTAAGTGCCTGGGTTCCTCCTAATCGAGCTGAACACTAGTCACTGGGTTCCATGGTTCTCTTCCGTGACGCACAGCTTCTCATAAAGTTATAACACTCACTGCATGGCCCAAGGTTCCATTGCTTGGAATCCCTGAGGCCAAGAGCCCCAAGTCAGAGAGCAAGAGGCTTGCCGCCACCTTGGGAGCTGCCCGCCACCACCTTGGGAGCTCTGGGAGCAAAGATCCACCAATAACAATGCCTGGATAGTGCCCAGCGTCTAGACAGGGTCTACTGTGTGGGCTGCTACATTCCAAATACGGTGAGGTCTGGCTAGTGCCCAGGGTCTACTGTCTGGGCTGCTGCATTCCAAATACAGTGACGCCTGCCTAGTGCCCAGGGTCTACCGTCTAGGCTGCTGTCATTCATATGAGAGGCTCCGAGCAGCTTCTGGCATGGAAGTGGGGGCTTCAAGATCACTATTCTGGCAACAGCCTCCACCACTCTTCTCCCTGCGGTGCGGATCACTCTCCCTTTCCTGAACAGCTGCCCAGTTCAATGTGCAAAGCCCTCCGAACGCCCAGCACGTGGGCCACCTGCACTCCCGGCCCCTGCTCTGTGTAACCCTGGCCCCGCCACCCGCCAATCCGCACAGCTCCCACGCCCCAGGGCCTGGCATGTGCGGTGCCCCCTCTCCCGACCCGCCGCGACCGCGCCCCGGGGGCTAACGCAGCCTCCACCTTCGGGCTCGCCAGTCCTCGCTGCTTTGCACGGTCCAACTCGCGCAGCAGGCGCTCAGGGGATGCCTGTCGGGCCGCGACCAACCCGGCAAGATGAGGACTAGCTGCCCGCGCAGCGCTGCTGTCTCCAGCCTGGCCCCACTGCGGTCCCGCAGTGCCTCTCGGCCTCCGTCCGTCCCATGGGCGGGACCGGGGACGCGGGCGCCCTGACGTCATCGTGCCGCGCCACCTTCGTCGCCCGGGAAACGTGGACGCCGCTGCCACCCGGGCAGGGCCGGGAACCAGGAAGCTTCGCCCAGGCGCTCCGGGCACTCTTGGTTTCTCCGCCTTTAGGCAAGCCCTGGCTGACCGACTCTGGCGAGTCGCTGCCCTCTCGGAGCGCCGTAGTTCTGAGATGCAGTTCACACCCCGGCCCTTCCTGGGGCCCACTCCAAGGCTACTGGATCAGGACCCCCAGTCTGGGGCACGGCATTTTCAAATTAATCAACAGGCACTACGTGATGGCTCACACCTGTAATCCCAGCGCTTTTGGAGGCCGAAGCGGGAGGATCGCTTGAGGCCAGGAGTTTGAGACCAGCCTGGGCAACATAGCAAGATCCGGCATGCCCAAGGGCTTGCTGAAGTTTGAGAACCGTGATTCTACAGAGTTCCTCAGAGAGCCACTAGTGGAAGTGGGCCCTCGTTGACCAGAGCAGTAACCAGCTCAATCACCCACCCTTGACTTGTTTTTCTTTGTCTCACACTTTCCACTTCCTCACTCATGCACTCTGAGATCAGCTCCATATTCAATTACCTGCAGCCAAATCCTTGTCTCAACCTCTGTTTGGGGAGATCCAAACTAAGACACACACACACCTCTTATGAAATTTACAGAGACAGAATCAACTAGACTTAGTAACTCGCCATTTAAGAACAAGGAAAAGCCAGGCGTTGTGCGCCATGGCTCTCTCATCTGCAGTCCCAACTACTTGTGAGGCTGAGGCGGGAGAATCACTTGAGCCCAGGAGTTTGAGTCTAGCCTGGGCAACATAGTGAAACTCTGTGTTTAAAACAAAACAAAACAAAACACAAAAAAAAAGTGAAAAAAGCACAACAAGGAAAAATAAATCCAAAGGTTTGCATTTACAGGGAACTAAAAGATGGGCAGCGCAGCTCAGTTATGGGGAGGAGAAAGATAAGTACAATTTTAAATGTGTGTCAAGTTTAAGATGTTGGCAGGACATCTGGGTGGGGATACTCAGCTCATGTTTGGAAATTGTCTACTTCTGTTCTACTCTGAAATACCTTCACCTTGATTCCATGGCAACATTTTTCTTCACAGTTATTACTCTTATTTAAAACAGACCTATAATTATAATTATGGGTATCAGTGGGAGCATCCGATTGCAAAAGCAGGAGGAAGGGACTGAACGATCATTTCAGGCCTGGCAGGTACCCTGCTAAGCAGTCAGAAGTGATCCTTAATCCAGACCAGCCTTCCCAGCCAGGGCTCTGTTGTGTTGTTGCAAAGGTCCCTGAATCCTCAGGAGCAACCAGGATTGCCTGAAGACAAAGCCATCATGGTCTAATAAAAATACACGCCACTGTTTTTCAAATGTTTGGAGATACTGTTGAGAGCAATAAAATAACCATTTATTGCAGAACTCACACCTCCTGTAGGTCACAATTTCTGCCAAAATTACAACTACTAATAAATTGGGTTCACGTGTGATACTGACATTAGAAAAACATCTTCCGGCTGGGCGTGGTGGCACACACCTGTAATCCTAGCACTTTGGGAGGCCAAGGTGGGCAGATCACTTGAGGTCAGGAGTTCAAGACCAGCCTGGCCAACATGGTGAAACCCTATCTCTACTAAAAATACAAAAATTAGCTGGGCATGGTGGCGGGCACCTGTAATCCCAGCTACTTGGGAGGCTGAGGCAGCAGAATCGCTTGAACCCAGGAGGTGGAGGTTGCAGTGAGCCAAGATAGCACCATTGCACTCCAGCCTGGGAGACAAAAGTGAAACTCCATCTCAAAAAATAAAAATATCTTTCCACTGGGAAACGATTTGGGTCCACTGCAGGAGTGAGAGAGAGAGGGAAGCCATTTCTAGGTAGACACTGGAAGGCAGGCTAAAGGGGAAGAGCTCAGGGCATCTGGTGGCCAGTACAGGTAAGAGACAAGGGCCTGAGATAAGGCCATATTGGTGGAGTCGGAGGCTGGAGAGGGAGCTGAGTGACTTTTTGTTATTGGTTTTATTTAAGTTAGGGCATCATCACAAAATGACATGGAGAAAACAAAGCACAGGTTTCCAGCCTTGGTCAGGTCCTCAGGCTCCCCTCCCTTCTCTGCTTCTCCCTTTTCACCCTCCTCTTCTCACACTTGTCTGCCTCTACCCTCTGGCTTGTCAGGGCTGGCCTGTGGCACTCTTCACTCTCTCCATTTAGTTTCCCAGATTGGCGTCTGCAGGTAAGACTGTAGTTCTCAGCTTCGACCATGGCTTCACCTTGGGGCCACCTTCTGGTGTTTGCCTGCTCACCCTGTAGCACTCCCGTGCTCCTCTCCTGGGCCTGAGGACACTGCTGACCTGCATCTGACAGGGAACACGGGCCTCTCTGTGAGTCAGGGTGGTGGGGAGGTAGGAAGAGAGGAAGGGGTCATGCTATGCTCGGTTGTATTGCTGGGACCTGGGTGGATGGAGAAGCCACTGGGACTGGCACCAAGGGAGCAACTTTGGGGAAAAAAATAGGGGAATTTGCCTTTCTTTATACATGTTTGTTAGCTATTTCTGGGTGAAACGGCCAGGAGCTGCACATGGACCCCTAGTGTGAACAGCAGGGGTAGGATGAGTGTCATCAGTAACTCAGTGGACAACGACCCATGGGAGAACTGCCATAGGGCCCCACGCACCCCCTCTCTTGTTCATCTTGACTTCTGTCCCACTCTGCTCCCTTCGGCACACCCATTCCCTGCTCAGTTTTAGACCTTGGTGCTATTGACTGTCATTGGCCATTGTGGTTATTTGCACGCATGGTTAAAACTAAAGTTGCCTCCCACCCTCTGGTCATTTGTCTGCCTTTATCCCTTCTGTCTTTCCCACCACCACCTCCCTGGCTGGTTCCACATTCCCAAAAGAGTGGCTGGAAGAAGTCACCAGGTCCTTGGGAAGGGAATGGGTTGTGATGATTCGACACCAAGAATGCCCCATCACAGCTCGGCCACGGTCACCACCACCCAGCAGCCACCTCACTTCCCCTAGTCATACCACATTAAGTGGTAGGCAGCTGAGAATGGTGTGGGGAAAGAGTTGTGGAACATAAATGCGGTTTTGTAAAAGATGCACATACAAATGGCTGTCCCTACGGCAAATGTTACCAGCATAAGCCAATGAAATTTTTTGTTTTTCGAGATGGAGTCTTGCTCTGTTGCCCAGACTGGAGTGCAGTGGTGCCATCTTGGCTCACTGCAAGTTCCGCCTCCTGGGTTCACGCCATTCTCCTGCCTCAGTCTCCCGAGTAGCTGAGATGACAGGCATCCACCACCACGCCTGGCTAATTTTTTGTATTTTTAGTACAGACGGCGTTTCACCGTGTTAGCCAGGATAGTCTTGATCTCCTGCCCTCGTGATCCACCCACCTCGGCCTCCCAAAGTGCTGGGATTACAGGTGTGAGCCACCCTGCCTGGCCTGAATTTTTTTTAATTACAAACTCAACATATTCAATTTAAAGGGTTTCTATGCTGTTAAGGTCTTGGCATCAGGTGAGTTTCTGGCTGAGGCCCTGGAAGGTAATGGGGGCTGCTGTGAAGCGACTGGAGCCGTCATTCTGATCAGCACACCAGAGCTGCCACTTAGGGCGCTCAGAGCAGCCAGGGCCTTCCAGCTGGAGCCTTCACTGCTGCTTCTCGAGTTCCAGTCAGCTTCCAGCACTTACACGCTGACGACTCAGAATGGAGAGGCTTTAGCGGTCCCATGTGAATGTCTCTAGTGCTGTATTGTTCAACAGTAGCCCCTAGCCTCATGTGGCTGTCAGTTAAATAAATTCAATTTCCCATAAATCTAATTTAATCAGTTGCCTAGTTGCATTCGCTGCACTCAAGTGCGGGTCAGTAGCCAAAAGTAACTACTTTATTGGACAGTGCAGACATAGAACATTGCCATTATCACAGAAAGTCCTATAGGACAGTGCTATGTAGACACCATTTCCAGCACCAGGCAGTGGGTCCTTGGCCTAAGCCTGGGTATCTCCAGCTTTCTCCCTGCTCCCTATACCCAGCAGCCTCTGGCTAGGGCCTGCTTCCCCACAGGGAAACAGTTGAGATAGTTCTGCCATCTGCACCATTCTCCTGACACACTCCCTCATCTCCGTCACTGTTTCATTCAGCAATCATTCACTATGAGGTCCTACTGGATTAGGGTTGGCCCTAATCCAATATGAACGTTGCCCTTATTAGAAGAAGAAAAGAGATTCGGAGAAACAAGAACACCACGTAACCACGGAGGCAGAGATTGAAGCGCTGGAGGCATAGGTCAAGGAATGCCAATGATTGCTGGCAACCACCGCAAACTAGGAGAGATGAATGGATTCTCAGAGCCTTTAGAACTATGAGAGAATAAATGAGTGTTGTTTTAAGCCACCAAACTGCCCTGGAAAACTAAGACAGCATAAAAATCCATTACTGTATGTGATCAAACACTGAATGGGCTAGGGTGAGCAGGTGTGTCTGCAAGGATATATCTCATTTGCCTTTTACTTAATTCTACCGACATTTGGTCTGTGCTTTTCTCTCTAATAAAACACATGATTTGAATTATTTTTTCACTTATCTGACTCCGACAGAGATCCTTTAGGGAATGGCAAAATCCCAATGGAGGGATTAATGTACAGAAATAATTAAGAATATTAGAGGTTTTTGGATTTCGCTAGAGATTCTGCAGACCAGCTGCTGATGATGTTGGACTAAATTGGCAGTATCCAACCTTCTTTGTTCCTCCTGGGGACACGTAGTAAGGAAGGAGACCTCTACTACTCTTGCTGCCCTCCTCCCCTCACACCTTGCCTAGTTCACAAGACAGGAGGAAAGAGAGAAAGCAGTAAGTTAGAAAGAAACAAAAGTAAGATAAATAGCCAGACAACCTTGGCACCACCACCCGGCCCTAGGAGTTAAAAAAATA